AGTGTAACAGACACGCCGTTTATCTGGGGCCACCCATTAATGATGTAGCACAAATCTTATACGCTTCGGGGTTTTATCTTCGTGTCAACACCAGTTGCCGTTAACAATACACATTCGATGCGGTTACTCTTATTTTTCCGTCTACAAATCCAGGGCCGCATCCGCCGCGATTTTTCCTCCTGGTACCCTCGAACTGTAAATGCGATTTTTTTCGTACGATTTCGCGCGCAAAGTCCGGTACTGCTTCGTACAATTCCAGACTTTCCGGCTCATAATCCAGCCCGGCGGCGCTCCTTTAATAGAATTTCACCCCGCTCTGAATAATTTCGGTGTTAGCGTTATGCTTTATAAAGTGTTATTCGAAGTTTACAGGTATTAGTCATCTTTAATGATCGCTCCCGGAGATAACCGGATTAATCCCGAGGAGACGACGTATAATTTCTTTTTAATTCAATCCTATGGTAATGCAACCGATGAGAATGGGAATTCGAATTGCATGCAAATTTGTTTAATTTTTCATAATAGATTATTGTTATTCACTACCATCGCGTTAATACCACGTTCATAATTATCCTGTAGAGAGTGAATTTTATTGAGAAGGTCCAGAAATTGTGTAAAAAAAAACGTTTATCGCGCCGGAGTTATTCCGTTTTTCGGTATAATTGCGGCGCGATATGAAATAAAAGGAAATGGAGCGGAGCGGTATTATCTCGTGAATAATTTTCCAGTCGTTTCGAAGAAAAATCATCGGAAAATAGGTGTTACGTGTGTTCATAAACGACACCGATACTGCTGTAAATCATCCGCGGACGATTGCGCATCTATACCCGGAATATTCCCGTGTAGATATTCCCCTTAACGCTAACGCAATCGCAATTTTCATTATTCTTAAACTGTAAAGTGCATCGTAAATACAATTCGCCGGCATTAAAACGTAAGCATAACAAAACGGAGCCTATACAGTATGAAAAATTCCATCGTAAAAACAACGTTTTTAGTGCAGTCTCGCCCGCGTACATTATATTAAAATACGCTGAAACAGTAGGTAAAATTGCAACGTCGTTTTTGTCACGTATTTTCAACATTTTCGGTCCGGACGTCTCGTTTATTTTCCGACCCTCATTCGCGGAATACGCCGGATTAAGTCGACTGTTTGGTCATATGTAGGTCCGGGAATGCGCCCCCGAACCGTCTTGAGAACGCTCCATTCCCCTAATGGCGCTAACGGATTTAATTGTTCCGGGCATCTCCGGCATTTAAACTCTCCGTGTAACACGTAAAGCGTTACTTTTTAGCCTGAATAATGCGTTGTTGAATGCGCTAAATAAATTTCCGAAATGCCGGCGTTCAAGAAAGGTAACGGTATTTTTTTAATGATACTTTTTTTAGGTACAATTAAAAATCCGCACGGCAACGAGGCGATGATAATACGACAATAAACTCCGACAATACGGCTTCTCGGAGTTTATCGGCTTAAACAAACATAGACAATAATCGGAATGTAAATCTCAAAGTAAGCACTTCCAAAGTAAATATAATTAAATCCGGGCGTACGAAAAATAACGGGGAGCGAAAAAAGTGGTCCAAGGAAGTTCATTAGAATGACAAACACGGTGGAAATTCAGAAGTTGTTTCGAAACGGCGTTTTTAGTGTAGAAGGGTCGGGCTGAAAGCGCGGTTATTACTGCGAATTATTCCGAGTCGGAGCGCAATTAAAAAACGGTTTTTTTTTTCGGGGAATTTAATTAACGTGCGGTTTAATATTATTTACTTTCGAATATATATAACACACCACTGTTTTCCACACCACGTAATCAATATCTATAAGAATTCATAGGCATTAATCATCTTCGAATGGTCTGGTAATATCCTGGAATTCCCCGGGGGAACACCCACAGGCCATTCTTTGCCACGCTACCCTTCCTCCGAGCTTAATAAGATTACAATGCAATTAAAGTTGAAGAAGTTTTTTCTGCTAATTCAATTAACCTCCTATAGGATTACTTATACTTTTAATTAATTTGGGTGACTGCTGGCTGTCACAGTGAACGTTGAATACCTGTACTTCAGAACCAATTAGATACTCTTTGTTCTCGGAAACGGAAACTGGAAGACTGCGGTCTCCTGCTCGATTATTTGGAACGGATTTTAAGTGGCTGGCTTGTATGCGAGCGCAGAGGAGAAAAATAAAATCCCGGATTTTAATTTAGTTTTCCCGGCGATTATTCGAGCTGAATTTTATTATGCGCGTAAAAAGCAAAGAAATTCCCGGTATTGTTCGCTCTATCCTCGAAAGCGTTTGAATGATTTAAAATTCCGAAGAGTGAAATTTTGTATCCCAATCTTCCGAGAATTTCCCGCTTTTCCCGTATACGGCGAAAAGTCCGGAGGATCGCGCCAGGTAGCTCCCGACTTTCCTAAGCGAATATCAATCATTGAAATTTTCGCGCGTTGAATTTTTCAATAGGCGGCGGTTCCCCGTTAAATTCCATTCATGCGATCGCCGAAAAAGGTCGTCCCGAGTCGAAATCGGCTGTGAATCCCTGACGAGGCCCTTCAGGAATATCTCTATTTTTATTAATTCTCAAAGTGCGATCAATTCGAAACTCAACTTTCTTATATTACTCAATACTACATTAATTTATACATTTTAAATTGAGCTTGTTCAATAAGAAATAAACTGCTCCACAAAAGTTAAGGAAGTTCGCAAATTTTGCGATTATTTTAAAAGTTACAGACTTTTTGATCACCGAATTTTCAAATATGCAAAAATAAATGTTTTCTCTCATATCTAAGAGGAATTTTTGTTCCTACCTCTACAACTGATGCTAAATTTGGCGATCAAAAAACCTGAAACTTTTAAATTAATCGTAATATTTGTGAACTTCCTTAACTTTTGTGGAGCAGTATATTATTATTATTGATTCCTTCAACTGTAGGTATATTGTGTAATTTCACTGAGAATTTTTCAGAGAATAAATAAATAGGTACTGATGAAAAATTTCTTTTGCCTATATCGATTGAATGCCAAATAAGTGCGATCAATTCGAAACTTAACTTTCTTATATTACTCAATACTACATTAATTCATACATTTTAAATTGAGCTTGTTCAATAAGAAATTTTATTATTTTTGATTCTTTCAACTGTAGGTATATTGTGTAATTTCACGGAGAATTTTACATAGAATAAAGAAATACTTTTGCCTATTGATATCGATTGAAGATGCCATTGAAGGCGGAAAAGTTTAGCGTCCTTGTAATGCAGTTATTGACATAGCGGCGCATTGTTGCATATTTTATAGTTATCCGAAGAGCGAGCGGGGGCGGACGGCGGGCGTCGCCGTCGATCCGTAAAAAGACGCAAGGTATATATAGCGGGGTTTTCCGAACGGATGGGAAATAACTTGCGGTCGGCGACTTAACAATGGGCGGCTGTCGGGAAAGCCGAGTAAATGACATTCCGATGTCTGTGCGCGGTTTTTCGCATCCGAATTCTCGACGGGGACCCGTTGAACGCAGCGGCGTCGGCGTTAATTTTCGGTATATGAATTCGGGCGCTTCCAGCCGGTTTTCCGATGCTTTCCCGAAAGCCAATATCCTCGATTCTCGTTTGAATAGAGCCGGATTGTTCCGAACCGTTCTATCGTTGATATTCAAGTCGTTTGGAATTCACGACGTTGTCACATCCAAAAAGGGAAAATTGAGTGTAGTCTCCGAGTGAACGGGGCCACCTGGGATACACTCCATTTCTGACAATTGGTTTTTATACCACCCCCAGTGTAATCGTGTAAGTATTACGCAATTGCACGTTTCAATGGATCCAATACGTGCTGTTTTATTTCGCTGGAGAATGCGATATTCGGCTACCGCAATTCCTGCTGTCAGTACGCATAAGCTCCATGGTGTTATTAAAAATAATTATTATGGATACGGCGGGAAAAAAAGAAGAACATAATGACGTACATTATTACCGCATACTTTCTACACGTAAACGAAAGTGTTTCCGAAGTTTCATTATACTTTCTACTATAGCGAGGAAAAAGCAACATCCTCATTATTTTATAATAGCGACGTAATGATACATTCATACCTATTATTTTAGGACCTCGGGGAAATAAAAGAGTGAAAGTTTTTTCAGTATACGAGAAGGAAAACTCGAGAAAAAAATAAACTTCGTGAGTTACGAAATATCCGTCGGACGAAAAGTTGCGATTCAATTCGGATTGAAATTCGCATTTTTCATATATTATACAGTAACGCTCTAAATAGGTTTTTTAATTCTTCATACACTGGTATAATTATTATACTCGTGAAACCGCCGACACCCGAATTTTCCGCGAAAAACTAGGTAAGCAAAGTTTTGTTTAGAACGAAAAGCTGACGAACACAAAGTCAGTTTCCTAGATAAATATTGAAAGAGACTCATTAAAGTTCCGTCGAGGTTAAATATAAAAGTTCTCGGAGGTTAAACATAAAGCCTCAGTGTTAATTACTTGTGAATTTTCCTTTAAAACTTCCCGTCTAAACGAAATTCGACGAGTTAATGTTAAAACGGCTAGACTAAGTTTTCGCGGTTCCGATAGGAGAAAAACCCCGGGCCCGGTTTGTCCGTAAACTCCGCTCAGAGATTTTAAGATCTTCGACCAACTTCACTATTTTTTTCTTCTCTCTAACTCTAAGCAACTTCATGCTCATAATAATAACCCAAATCTGCGCCGCATTCGAATTTACTCGACTGGATGTGATTTGAGAAAATTTCACGCAAAGCATTTACCCAAGTTAATATTTTTATGAAATCCTTATACAGAATGAATCAAGTTTAAGTGACCAAAATAAAAATAGTAACAAAGTGCTGAAAACTCGTATATGCTTAGGCTCCTTCTTTCCTAACTTTTCTTCTTATTTTGCAGTCATAAATCTACATATTCCTTCCCTAAACAACCAAAATATAGAAGGTATTACATTGAAAACTAAACTTTGATATTTTCTTTGTTTCAGTTATTATGCTTCCACGGCTTTCCACGTGGGTCCCACGCGACTGGTGCCCCCCATCAAGCGACAAAGGTTGATGACCACCACGAGGAACGGCAAAAACCAGTCGCAGAAAATGACGGTGACGATTCCGCCTCTCGACCAGTTGAAAATTTATAGTGAGTATAAACGATGAATTTGATCGCGTATATCAAACTAATCGCCTATTATACGTCTACGAACACCCTCCGTTCCTCACGGTAACGATATCCTATACATGACATTAACGTTAACTCCTTTAACTGGCGCGTTAATTCGACCACGACGAAAATTCTCTCGAGTTCGTACAATACAGGCCTAATGAGCACTCTATATTAATCTGGATTGGATTAAATATTTAAATCGGTCTCCCAGTGAGAGACCGACCGTTTGCTGTAGTCGTAATGAACCTTCAATTTTCATGAATTTCGTTTTGTTTCCAGGTAACCAAGATATACTAATATGCGGCAATTGCAGAGAGCTCTTCTCCGAACTCCAGGAACTTCTCGAACACAAAAAAACCTACTGCAAGTTGCGCTTCACCTGCAAATGCGATTCGAATAAATCCAGTAAGTCCATTCGTCCTAAATCATCGGTGATACGCCATTGTACTGATCGCGCTCCTTAAACGCCCACCTGCGTCCCGGCGCGTAAATTTCTCTTTACCTTCTAATCCCTAAATCCTGCTTTATTGCCGGGGTTCATTCACGGGACGTTCGGTTGGTTAACCGCAACCTACTTAACAGCTCATGAGCGTCTTGATAAGCCCGATGTGTACTTAATGAAGGCGAAAATTTAATTGGATTTCGATTCGAATTTGCGATTTTTTTTATTTCCAGATTCGCATCAGGACGATCCCAACACGTCGACGTCGCTGCTGTGTGTTCAATGCAAGGACGCCTTCCAAAACGCCTGGGATTTAATGGTGCACGCGCAGGCCGCCCACATGTTGAATATTTACGAATTAGGAGTTCCGTCGATCACCAACTGCTCGATATCGAATCTACCGAGAGATAATAACACACCAGATAAGGTACGGTATTAGTTAGCGAACCGGCCCTGTATACCTATCGAAAACCATGGCTACGCGGTGAAAAATGTTTGCCCGACTGTCACTCTCCACTTTGAATAACCGAAAGTCAAAATTTCCCGTCTCCGAAAAAACCCGTTTAAATTATGAGTGACCAAACACCATCCAAAGACGACGCCGACGTTTGCCCAGAGTCATCGTGGGAGGTGATCAGCGAGAGCGACGATTCGCGCTGCGATTCCATCGAAAATTTGAGCGAGGGCGAGCCGCCGGCTGAACCGCCGAACGACAGGCGACAGACGGAAACGACTTTCGTCGAAATGCCGGACGAACAGCCGCCGGCCGTCGTCGACGCGGACGCGCCGGAATCCGGCAAGAAACCGAAGAAGAAGCCGAGCTTCAAACGGCCGAGGAGGCCGCGAGCGGCCGACGCCTTCACTGTGATCTCCATCGCCGCTCTGTTGCTCACCCTAACCGGAATATCCATGATATGTTTCATGCTGCCCGCTCCCGAAGACAACAGAATCCGCCAAGAACTACCGCGAACTAGCTTAGCTGATGCAGCGAAAGTGCAAGAAACGTTAAACAGCACATCAGACCTGTTGAGTAAGTTGAGTAAAGAATTGGACAATAATTGTAACGTCGACGAAGAGGTGTGCACATCCCAACATTTCGAACCGTTCATCGACATCACCAATCAACAATGTCCCATTATCGACCCCACTGATCGATTGAACAACGATTACCTCATGAACGATATGCATTCCATGCAGGACATCGCCAATATGACATCGACTTTATTGAACAGCCTGAAGGGATTCTGCTCCAATCCCAGTTTGTACGTATTCCTTTGCACGCTCATGCAAGATGTATGTCTCATAAAACTAGTCAATCAACTCGAGAAGAACCAGAATGTGTGCAAAACTCAACCTACCAAACATGAGAAGGTTAAAATAAACGTCAAGAGTAAAGCTCAAACTAAAAAAGTTGCCACTAAGAAAACAAAACTCGCCGATACTATCAAACCCGTTAAACCCGCGCCGGAATCTTCCCCTAGTACTCTAAAAAGCAGCGAAGTAAATAAAACCAAAAGCGAATGCGAAAAGAGATTCGAAGAGCTCGAAAACAAGTGGTCGAGTTTAGGCAAGACTCACTTACTAAAAATCCAAGAAATAAAAGAACAATACAGAACCGAGCACAAGCAATTATTAGAGAATCAGAAAGAGGAGAAGAGAAAACAGAAGATCAAATTACTGAGAGACAATTACATACAAAAATTGAAAACCGACAGGGAATTGTACTTGCAACAATTGAGGAAGATTAAAGACGAACGTCGCAGAGCTTTGAACCAAATTTGCTCCAACAACAACACTCAATCGCTTATCACCGGTTTTCTATCGAACAACACTCAATTAAGCAACTTTAACAAGAATCACTCCGCTTCTGTGTTAAACAGCCGAAACGCGAACGAGCGACGACTCGATTTGCAAACCGAGAACGCTTTGATCGAGGAAATAGTTAGAAAGGTAATGTACAATTTATCCGAAGTACAAATCAACAACACAGCGCAATCGAAAGTACGACCAGTTAACCTAAAAGTAGAAACGCCCAGTAACTCCACGCACGAGATCATCGAAGTAGAAAGTTTCACGAGCGTCAAAAACACTTCTAATCAAACCAAAGAAAATTCGGACGTCCCGTTCGGACCTCTCCCGGAGAACTTCTCCTTCACCAACATCGCAAAACGCAACAATTCCAAGCAAGAAGAGACGGAGGAGCAGGCGGAGAAATCCTCGAAATATTTCTTCATTCCAGCCGCCACGAAGACATCTTTAACCTTCGACAGCAACGAAACTGACCCCTTGTTGAAGTCTACGAGAGCCGTGAAGAAAGTGCGATCGAAGCGCGATAACAAACCGTTTCGTTCCACGATAGACATCGTCCCGACGCACGGAAACACCTTTGAAACCACGTACAAAACCAACGAAGCTGACGAAGGAAGCGTGAAAGTCGCCGAAGATGCGGAATTTGTCACGCCCAGGCGCAGGCACAAGCTCAAAAACGCTGACAAAAAGATCGAGGAATTGGCGAAACCGCCGCCCAAGCAGGACATCTACAACATTTTCTTCGACCACGAGGGCAAGGCGATTATGAGAGAGGAGGAGAATTTGGAGAAGCGCGTGGTGCAGAAGTTTCCGACGATTCCGAACGTGCCTATCAACAAAGCGAAGGTACCAGCCGTGTCCAAGAAGGTTTTTACGTTTAAGGGCAAGCTATGAAGGTTTTGCTGGAATTTAATCGGACATACCATAAATACATTCTTACATTTACCATTAAGGCGTTTTTGTTTACTTGGGGATTTTAAATAAAAGTGAGGGAGGAACTGGAATTTTGTTTCTTATTAATTCACATACTACACTCCTTTGCCAGTATTCAGAGCGTTGATTACAATATAACTGGTTGATAGATGAGTGTAGCAATAAAAAGAAAATTTAATCAGTCGTTCATAACCGAGGAGCCAGATTTTATTCTAAACTGAAATTATGCAAGGTTGCTAGCTGAAGGGAGTATTGAAAGGAGGGCGATCGAATCTTTGTATTTTCCATATTTTTGACTGAAGTGGCAGTTAGTTTTGTTCCTCATTTGTATACAAAATTTTCATCTTTATAATTTATAAATTATAGCAAATTTTAAACCATTGTAAACAGCTGATTAGGTTGACAATTGGTCAGTTCCAGACCATTTGCTCGGAACAATCCTAGCACATTTGATATCCCTTGTTCATTTATATCGATCAATTTAGTAACAACAATTCTACTCCAGTTCCATTCGTTCTAATCACTACCAAATCGAATAATCTTCTGGTCTAGTGTAGTTCCCAACTTTTGTTTATTTTCTTAGTAACTTCAAGATCAAAACAAAATGTCAAATTAATTGTAGGTAAATTTTAAGTGCATTCATGTTCCGTTTAAAAATTTTAGCATCGAAATACCCGATAAGTACCATCAAACTCCTGCCGATTAAATCGATTATCAAGAATGTAAATATCGCTGCACCACCATCTCTGGTGACGAGTGTTGCTCCGCTGAATAGTCCTCGATGGTATCCGAACTTTCCCTTAGAAGATGCGGTAAAAGACGCGAGAAAGAAGAAAATCGAAGACCCTTGGAGACCGAAGCTTTCTTATTATGATTTTCCAGCGCCCGGTGTTCCTGTTTGGTTGCCTTCAGCACGAGGCGAATCGATTCCGCTGAACTGCGACTCGTGCGGAAAAAGGAGAAAGTGCAAAAAGTTGAAGAAGAAGTACAGGAGAATGAAGAAAAAGTGCAAATGCTTGAAGAAAAGAATAAAGAAATATAAAAAGAAGATGAGAAAGTACGAGTGCAAGAAGATGAAGTACTGCGACGGCGGGGGCGGCAACCAGTGTTTTAGCTTGCTGAAGAATTACTTTAAATTCTAGTCGATTTTATTCGAAACCAACGAAAATGGAGTATTAAATACATGTATTAAAACCCCATTTATTCCTGTATAGGTAGAACAATCCCATTCTCGCATCGCGTTATTTGTTTATTCGGGGCTCTCGAGAGCACGCCGAACGGACGGGGAGTAAAAACACATCGGGAACTTCGGTTTTCCCTTTCTTCTATCCTAATGGGAGGCCGGGAATTATACCTCAAGTTAATGATCCTGTCGGATTCAAGTTTGTATTCTAAAATATCGCCCCCGCGAGCGCAATTAATGTTGATTAACTTCCACCCTAATTTTTTATTCGCCCATCCTTTTAATGAACTTAATTCTGACAAATACAGCTCTTTTACGCGGATCCGATACGACTTATTCGCCCGGTAATGAGTCGGTTACGCTAGATTTTTGTTTCATTTAAGCGAATAATAAAAACCGTAGCGGTAATTATTTAGTTATGTGTATGGAAAATGAATGTATTTACACAGGAATTTCATGCTAAATCTGATACGCCGTGTCGGTGGGAGTGGTGAAAAAATCATTAAATTCAACTGTCATAGTGTAAATTGTTAGGAATAAGGGCCAGACACGCGATAGGTGTAATGACATTACGAACATTTCGGGAAGTAAAAAAAGAACTGATTGTTTAATACTAATTTTACGCTTTCGTGAAATAAATACGTATGGGTATCGAGTTGTATAGTGAATTAGGCTTTTTAATTTCCTCCAGATTTCTAATTCGATAATTCCCTCGTAATGGCGTGAGAGTTGATTAGCATGTAAGGCGCGATAAACATGTTTCCCTATTAGCTGGAATTATATGGAGCGCCGGCTAAAATATTTATATCGTCGAATAATATCTGTAAAATTTTATCCAATTTCAGATTACGTCCGTTCGGTTTTTTTATTTGCCGGGCTATTAAAAAAAAAGCGCAACGGTAATTGATGAAAATACCTGGATTAACAACCTGTAAAACGCGCCGGAATTTTCAGTAAAACGTTTATACCGACCCCTATAAATGATTGCCATTGTATTTGTTCCGATTTTAATACACGAAATTCGATTTCTGAGCAACCGTTTCATTATCCAACATCCAGGATTTAAGGATACATACTATGCAAATAAACCTGTCAATAAAACCCGGATGATATTATTGCGGGCCATTTTAATTAAACCGTTTTATTAGCAAGACCAAAATCGCGCGTTGGCGAAATTTTAATATGAATTAGCCGACAAAACTAATAAGATCCAGAAGGTTATTATTATATAAAAAAAAAGATTTTGTACCGGGGATTCCCAGCAACGTTTCCAGGCATAAAATAGCAGCAGACGCATTAGCATATTCTCTCTAACGAGCGAAGGTGATATAAAATTTGAACGGAATCGCTGCGAGACGACGTTATCGGTCAAACGGGGCGCATCTAGCGGCTAATTTACTCGATTTATCAATCTTTAACTATCTATAGAAGTCGGTTGATGAGGCCTCGCCTTCCATATTGAGCCTGATGGATGGCGCAAAGAAGGCGGGACGATTGCGTGCTTTCCCCAACTTATAAATAAATAACTTTAGGGCGAAAATACCGACGGTGCATAACCCCGTACTCCCGTTTCTCCCGGACGTTTGGGGGAGATTCGGGCTATATAACATATCGATTCGACTCCGAAAGTAATAATTGTTCGAATAAAGAGCTCGGTCACCTGAGAGATGATTTAAATTAACCCCATTATTCGTGGTAAAAAGATGTTTTAAGTGGTTATTTTACCATTTCTATATCAATGCTTTTCTCCAAATTTCAGATGAAAAATTCTTAAATGGTTCTGTAAACGAATAGGTTCTAAATGATTGTGTCATGAATCGTTTCAAATGGTCCTCCAAACCTGCCCTAAAAAATTTGAAAATAGGAAAAAATACTATATGAATAATATTTGGTCCCGCTTTTCCCTAAATATGAACAGAAAAAAAAGTAAATCCCCAATTAGTAACGTTATCCATCGGAAGGGCGTTTTGCATGACAGCCGATAATAGAGAATTACATCGAAAAGAGAACGCGTTTGATGGACGCGAAAAATTACATTAGAACGTCGAAAATCGAGACCGGCGAATCCTTTTCGGGGAATTAGAAAATGTAGGAAGCATTCATCGGAAGCGAATTCGTATATTCGTATATGCAGAGAGAAAGCACAAATGAGTTTTCTTTTGAAAACGCAGAGACTAAACACGGTGCATCTGACCGTTCCGCTTTGAACGCACCATCGGGCTTATCTGGAACTTTCAGAAAGGCTGCATGAAAAGCACTTCTGGCCATATTTACAGATTAGCTGTAGATAAAATGCTCGGACGGATGCAGATGTAATTCCTTACGTTTTTGTTTCGAATACCCGTTTTTGCGTATAAATTTCAGGAAGAGGAAAAATATAAATAAAATCCTGACGTTGCATCCATGCCTAGCTCTTTCTCCGAAAATCAACTTTTTTTTTTAAATCACGAACATTATTTCATACAAACATGTATATTGATATTGTTTATTGGTGGTTATGAACTCTAATTCTGTTCAAAAATATTTTTTCTTAGAAATTTTTCTTAGAATTTTTCTAAAAAAATTATTATAAACAAAAATTGAAATATTAAAATTTTTCAAAATGCGGACCTGTACATCGGTTGAAACCCCTCCACCGCGCGATAGATCGCATTTGGCATAGGTTAAAATCGACAAAATAATGATTTATAAATTAAGTGTGATATCTTATTCGAACTTGTTTATTACCTATTAATTCCATATGTTATCTAAATTTAGAATCATGGATACATTGTAGAAGTACGGGTTTTTAAACAATATCGAAAAAATAAACTTTAAGCTCGAAAGGAATATTAACTCACCTATTTTGTTGACGAAAGCTGCTTAATTGTTCCAGAACATCACTATAACGAACAATAACTAACTAAACTAAGAAGAACACTAAGAATTAACAAATCTAGGAACACTAAGTACAAAAACAATCAAATAAATCGCGAAAGTCTAGTCACAAAAATTTATTTAACCCCGATGTTATAATTAAAACGATAAAACACTGAAAACGATCGGTATCGATAATTTTTTTCTAATGCTGGAGGACGGAGGGGGAAATTTCCGCTCGCTGATAAATACACCGAATCTTTTTTTTTTGAGTTAAAATTCCCATCAGCTGATTATTCAGGTCAGGGTTGTATTCGCTCTTTGCGTTTATTTCTAATGGATCTATTTTGTTTATTATATTTTTTTAGAAAAATGAAATCTGTGAATCGGTCTCAATTATGCAAACTACCACCCTTAGAATTTAGTGCCATAAGTTCGAGAACACTTTGTATAAGATTTAATAACTTGATATATTAAAACAGCTACGAATTATTTACCTTAATATTTAATGAAAGAGGGCAATTTTAAAAGATTGGAAAACACTCGAAACGCCATTGTTTGCGCAAACAGAATAATGAAAGCGAATCGAAAACGAGAATTTGACGTCTTTATAGTCTCTTTTCCGCCGGAGACAAAAACCAATTCCTTAATTTAAATAAACATTCTACCCCGGTAATAACGTTATACGAAATTCCGAAAATGTTATTGTTCGCCCTGTCATCCGCAAGTTCGGAGACTTAAGGCTTTTAAGCAAATTCTTAAGGAATATAAATTAGGAATTCGTCTTGTCTAGTCGCTCCAATTGGGAAACAAAGAATCGCGAATCCGAAACGGCTTTTCCCGGGTGTTTCGATGGTAATTACCAGATCGTATCGTAAGGATTTACAATCTTTTTTCCATTCGCTTCCACCGCGCTCTTCTTCGGGAATTGGATTGGAAAAGCACACACGTGTGAGGAAAGGTTAATTTTCCCCGACGATTCGAATGATTATACCCCACACGATTTTTTTTTCCTTTCCAGGACGATAAACCCGACGAAGCGGACGACGTGGACGGCGAGATCGAAGCGGACCCGGAGTTCCTGGAGAACGGGCTGGTGAGCTCGCCCGATTCGGGGAACTCCCGCAACGACAAAGAGCTGGAGGAGCTGATGGAGATGGACAGCGCCCCGAAGACGTGCATCATGCACGCCTTGAGCATCGTGAGCGCGCCGGCGACGCAGCCGGGGGCGTCGCCGCCGCCGCTGGCCGCCGTCGCGCCGCTCACCGAGAACGGGGACGGCTGGAAGCCCCAGGGCCACACGAGGCTGTCGCCCAAACTACAACAGCAACCCTATTAGTCGGAGTCGTTATATAGGCTAAATTAAATATATATATCGTTATTATTACTATATATACCTTTGTTTACAGTTCGGTTTAATTTCCACCCTCGTTTCGCCTCGTTCAATATTTGATGAGGGTCGAAATTCGGCATAAGTTTTCGAAACGTTTGTTGACAATTGCGCCGTGATTTAAATTATGTCCGACGGTGTCTTTCCACTTTACCTGTCGTTATCGAACTAATGAAATTTAAATTAAGCTATATAAACTTATTAACCGCCATTTTTTAATCAAAAATTCTCGATTTTTTTCTATACCTAACCCGTTAAAAGTGCTATACGAAAATTCAAAAATATTGAACGAGGATTTTTTTATATACAAAATGTAAACAAACTATTTTTACAAAAATTTAAGATTAGTTAGTGATCGATTTATCAATCGAGTTCTAACTAAAGTTTAGATTAACCCGCCTACTCCAATTTACACTTGTATTTAACTCAAAAATTTATCTCTGTACCTACCTATATATTTTCCCTCGAAACGCTAAATTTTTTATAAAGCAAATATAATACAATTGTAAAATGGGCTGTATAGGAAACATTTCCCAATTTTCATATTAGTAGCTAATTTATTTTTGCTCTTTTTAAATACATAAGTAGAAAACAAGAACAATCTCGACCTGTACATATTTCTGTGTAAAGAAATAAACGGACATATCATATACATATACAAAAGAAAATGATTTATTTGTAAATTTTTCAAATATCTTTAGAAATAGATGTCATGGACATTGAAAATGTGTTAAATTGAAGTTCTTAGATTTAGCAAGCAATCGAGTGGTAGATTCGTCGATCTAATTAAATTTCCATAAAATTATATAAGACTGATTTTAAAAATTCACCTTGTTATCCCACTTCTGAACATTACAGGCAAAGTATTCAAACTGTGTTAAAAAATTAATATCGAAGATCGATGGATTTTGCACTTTCATTGCAACAACATGAAATACAAATAATGTTTTATTGTATAATAAAATTAGAGAGAAAGAAAAATATTAGAGTTTCGTACGCGAGAAAGAGACCAAATTGTTTATTATTTCGACGTTTAACGTTTTTAAAATCTATTATCAATAGAAATTAATTAATCTGTTTAGTAATCTGTAAGTTATGAATTAAATAATATATCGATTAAAGTTAATAAATGTCATAGAATTTTTTTCGTATACATTACATAAGTACATTTATTATTTCGTACATATCAACTTGTACTAAATTTCAATGTAAATACCTCCAATTATAATTAAAAATAATTCACGCGACGATGGGAAACGCTGATATAAAGCGTAAATATTTGCTTACAACTTTAATAATAGCAAAAACCATTGTATTTAACTAGTCCCTTTGCCTTTTTCGTTTGCTTTCTATGACATTTATGTGTACATTACGACTCGTTTAATTTTTTTGCAGCGAATGGTTGGAGAGATAACATTATCGAAAACAATTGTAAATAGAATTAAATAAGAAATACTCCAGCCGTTTAATTTGTTATTACGGAAAGGATTGAAATTCATGCATTCTACTGGGTCGTTTCATTTGATGATTATTTTTGATAATGAAGCAGCCTGCATAATTTATTTTTACTTTGAATAGTATTTGTTGAAAGTATGTTATATCGCTTTTTGTATTATACTAATGTTATTTTTGTAACTTGATGAGTAAAGTAAAATTCGTAAAAACCGCCGTATGACCAATATACCAGGATGGTTCAATATTGGTGCAAAAACATTGATGAGTGAAATTGTGGTAGTTTTTTTTATGTGAAAAAATCTCTGCCTCTCTGAGGTAGCATTTTTATTTTTCGCATCAATTTTGAATTATCCAGCATATCCCTTTATCCATACAATCATTAAATAAAAAAACAAAGTATAAAAAATTTGCCTTTTTCGAATGATGTTATTAATTATGAATGAATAGCTTTCGTTTCGGTAGCGTCGCTAATGATGTTATGTACCTCTATGTAAGTAAAGGAGTACTTCTATTATGTACTAATCATTGGTAAATATATGTCCTCTATTATAACCTGCGTTTGTTTGCAATCCAAAAGAAAAAAAAAATAACCTCCGATTGGATTTACGAAAGGTAAGCATCAGGTATTGAATTTAGAAATCATCTCTCGGTCCACTCCGGTTCGGAGTTACCTATCAAATTCAACTCCCCCGTTTCATCAAACTCTCGCTACCATTCCATTATCCTTTGAGACCGGCAGCAGCGAACGAGAACATACCCGCGGGCCGTAAATAAACGACTATACCTTGTCATTAATTTGGGAAAACCCTTCCGGCGATGTTTCGAGTGGGTTAATGACTATTACAGAGACATCGACGATGCGAAACTCCTTTGTCGCGTATAGATGCTAACAGTTTTCTTAGCTTCGAAATCCCAATTCAATTAGTCGCCGCCTTTGTTCTATCAATTTGTACATCCAAAATGGAGGGCCGCGATTTTTCCCGATTACCATCTACGCTAGTTGCATATTCCTCGAACTTGTAACAATTAATTTTCCTTAAAGTATATTTGCCGAACATGAAAAATCCGGTTTAATCGCCGGCCGGCACGCGATCGTAACTAACGCAAACAGTGGGAGAGAAGAAAAAAAAACATATCGGCCGGGTAATTAATGCAGAAAGGATACGCCGTCGAGGGGTTGTTCCTGATGACGAATCACTCGTACGATCGGACGCGTTCCGATCGGAAAACCTGGAATTGCCAGATAAAGCTGTCTACCTAACGCACGGAAGAATAACGAGCGATACAATTGGATGTGTCAGCCGGTATACGGTGCGTTGTTTTATTATCATCCTCAGGCTCACTGCGAGTTCCTTCGATAGTTTGTTAGAAGTGCTATTTTATTTATACAGGGTCGATCCGCGCCGATGTCTGGACATAGGAATATTACAAGAGACTAGAATTATTTGAAACTGTTCAAGGCAATCTGAGAACTGTTTACAACTCTCCTAAATCATTTAGAAGAGATTAAGAACTATTTAGAAGGTCCCATGCAGGATCTATCTACTAGAATCCAGGATCTGTCTACTAGAAGAGTCTAGAACCATTTATAAAACTACAATAGAAATCCACTAATTTAATAATTCTATTAGTACAACAAAAAATTTATGAACTCTATTTACATTAGAGTCTACCAGTAATAAAATGATTTTATTGCAATCTACAGCTCTACGCTAGGGGTATTCCCTATCCATATAAACTGGCGAAAACCGAACAGGTCGTTTTCATCATGCAATTAGGCAAAGGGAAAGCGTTTCGGAAGGATGCGAGGCTATTATAGCGTTGGAATTCCTTGCGCATTTCGACTTTGATTACGAGGCAGAAAAATCGGTGGGCGGGGTGTTGTCATAAAACACAATTAGAGCCCTTGGTGCAAGGCGGTGCGAGCCCGGGCGCGGTGATGAATGTTCCGTCAACGGAATATAACTGCAACACGCGACATTCTGGTATTCCCCCGCTCTAAAATAACCCTTTTTTTCTGTTTTAGTATCGAAGGGATTTTAAAATTTGGTCTACCCAAACCTAACAAATGTAACTCTACCAAACGTTCCTTCATTATTTTTAGTCTAACATAAAATTCCTCCAATTTAATGTGGATAAATTCCAGCGACGATTTTTGTAGTATAATCATCTGTTCGACTTGTAAAGTGATTGTATCCTAAACAAACAGCGACAGCGGCTGTAAAATAAGGAGCAAATTCAAATATGTTTCGTTCCTCGGGGGATGTACGCTAACAAACGAAAATCTCGTTGAATTCGACGCCGAGAAATAGGGAGGCAAACAGCGAAAATCTATGAAGTATAATGGCGACCGATAATCATGTCTGGAAAACAGCGAAATATAGCGATAAAGCTTCAGTGGGACGCTTCACGCTTTCGACATAAATCTAGGATTCCCACTCGGGAGCCGGGAATCCTCTTAGTGGAGCGCGTGTGTGGCTTCCCCATGGATCTTTCTTACGCGGGGGATTACATCCCGCACATATTCGGCAACGTCGGCGTGATGGCTATTGATAAATTAGCGGGATTCCGGTTTGAACACTTTTTTATTGATGTCTTTTTTTATTTTATACCTACAAGGAGTTCGGAAATACATCCTTTAAAATTAGATATTAATTATTATTTTAACCTGAAACACTCTATACGAGTTCGATATAAACTTCTATACACTTATGTATTCCTCAAAGGAAAATCCGGTGGATACAAACAAAAGATTAAAAGTGAAGCGTATAGGGGAAGAAAATTTTCGGATAAAAATAAAATAAAAGCGCGCATGCAGTCTACATGCTGTCTACATAATTCACGTTAGTTTTTCGAAACGATGCATTTCTTTTGAGAAATCCATTCACGTAACGAAATATCCACTTCAATTGCCATTTATTTTCGAAATCGAACATGCATAGATACACAACGCCCTCTTAAATATTTAATATATTCCGGAACTTTTACATTCGAATATGCTCGAGCCATAACAATTCGCGAAATCGCTATGTTATTCGAGCAATTATCGACGATTTACGCGCGCGGCATATTAAAAATTTCACCCCTTAGCGGACCGATCCCGGAGAGTATAACCGAATAATAACCGCAAAGAATCGATGCGATACTTTCGAGCGTATGTAGGGACGAGTCCGGTTGATTGCGGAAGAAGAGAACATCGGACTATGGGAGCCCGGGCTATGGAAGGACACTTGACCGCAACACGGTATTTCGCTTTGCGTCCTCCGCCCAACAAAGTGCAGCCTGCAGATATTTAATCAAGTACCGAAAGGGACGGCGGATTTCCAAACTATCCTTTCCTATGATGATGATTTTTTCGTTGTGGCCTCTTCTTCGCTAATAATCGCATATTGTAGGCTTTAAAACGAGTCGATAAAATAACCTAAAAGGATCATAACTTTTGAATCACTCTATATAACTATTTGATATTTTGCACAGATAATCTACACCTTTAAAACAATTTATATCGACCCACTAAAAAAATTCAAACTGGAGTACCTAGGTATATTGTAAAGTTCTCATTAATTTATTTTTATACGAATGTTTTCAAAAACATGGATGTGGGTTTTTTTTAAATACTCACTCATATGCATAATAAATAGCTATTTTCTGCGTGCATTACGTAATGCTACGTAATAACTTCGGTATGGTTTTTGTTTTCTGCAAAAACTGGGTCAAATTGGCTTGCTCGGTTTTTGAGAATATACAGCAAGTGTATTGTACAATTTCAAATTCGCAGCAGCGAGAGAAATTGTCTCTATTTTCGATGAAAAACAAAAACTTTTTCGCCGAGTGACATTATACTTTATACGTACATCGCCAATTAATTAATGAATTAATTAATTGCGCGACGAATGAAATGTTATAGAAATATAGCGATTTGAAGTAAAACACGTCGTTAACGTGCCTTCTGCCGTAGTAGAGAGGCGAATATAAAATAATATCAATCGAATTAAACTGGTCGTGAAACAAGTTTAATGCCGTTCCGATGATTTGGAGTAAAGAAGAGGAATGGCCCGCAGTCATTTTAATTAACCGTTTCGTATTGTCGATATCTTTAGTCTTTTTGTTTAACAAACATCAAAGCGACGACTGTAATTAATTTTTTCCTCGGGCTCAATGTAATAATGTTTTTTATTCTCTTCCGTTTCGTCTTCTTCATGTTGTTTCTTCGACCTGCGGCGAGCCGTAGGAGGAAAAAAAAACGTAATATATACCGATTTTGTTGTAACAAACAATAAGCTAAGCGGAAGAATTCGAAAACTGACCCTTCTCGGATCGGAATAACCGATATACATATACGGGGAATTTGTATAACCGATAATCCGACACGAAAGTGTTATGGTAATGACGGCCCAATCTGCGTGATTGATGAACGTCCGATGTTCCGCAGGGTTTTGTTTGTAACACTTGTCTAATAAAGATTTATTATTCCTTAATTAGGGAGCTGATTGGCCATGGCGCGCCCTCTAGACCCCGGGCGGAGACCTCCAGGGGTATACACTATTATTCTACACCCCAACTATCACCCATAACTTCTTAACCGAAGATTTACTAATTGAAAATTACTCATTGCTGGATTTATTTATAGGTTAAAGTATGTAAGAAGTTTGTGTTTGAAATAAGAATTAATTATAAAGTAAGTGTAGTGGACACGTCCCTGGATTGTATTAAGGAATGCGGAGAACCACCCCCTTAAACCGCACCCTTTTTCTGTTTATTTTTGCCGTACTTCATTAATAAACGCTATGTTAAATGCGGACAATAAGCGGAAAATTGCTAAAGATTTATGGTTTCCTAACCCGCACATCTCTTAGCATAGGAAAATTTCCCTACGCCCGGATTAATTATCACTTATATAAAACAAATCGTTCGTTCTGCGAAAATGATTTACAGTCGAAATAATTCATAAGTTCCATTTCCTAAACAAATTGCGACCGGAGAGCAACTCAAACAGCGAGTGCGGAAATTTCGTTGGTTCGCAACAACAAAATTCTTCGAAACAACGAAAATCATCGTAGTTTGTTTCAGTCGACACTCGAGGACGAGGGCCTTTCGCAAATATAATTGCTCGAACAAACTGTTTACCGACAATTAATTACTCATTATTAGAATCTAACGGAAGGCACTCGAGAAATCCGGGGAATTTCCGTACGGTTTTTGTTCAACGATATCTCGAATTTAATAAAATAATCATCGAGAAGGACGCTCGACAACATCAAATGAATGATAACGACGACATCCTGCAGTCTGGAGACTGATTGGACGGGTAACAGTGTCACATTGTTCAAACTCTTCACGTTTTAATAGAACGCCGGGATCAATGGGGAAGCCTCTTTACGTCGGAAACACGCCGGTTTAATCGCGCGTTTATTCAATTTTTAACAAACTTCCTACCGGACGTGCGTTATTATTAATTCTTCTTCATCTCGAATAATTCCAGACGAAACGGTAAAAGTTTATTAACATTTAGTCGACGTTGTAAATTTTAATAACGCCATCGGTTCAATAAATAAAAGGATATGGGTTCGAATGATAACGATTGGAAGGACGAACGGGCACCCCTAATGGGGGAAAGTCGACGTCGAATGTCGAATATCGCGCGGGAGCACATCAAACAGGCATTTAAGGCGTTTTCCAGGTAACACTTTAGTCGCCTCGCCGAAGATGAAGGGAACATCAAATTTTACGATAACGCGTTTGTTCTAGCCGTTTAGATACACGCGCATTTACACATATTACAACCCACGAGAAAATCCAATAATTCCCGCGAATATTTTTAATCCTGTATATCATCTTGTAGACGAATATTGGACGGCAAATTTCATCGGTTCAGGTATAGGTCCGAATCGATGTGGAATTAATGAATCGGGAATAGTGAACAAAAGGGTTCGGATCGGGACCGTTCCTGAAGTTCCAGATCACGTAGCAGGAACGCCGGTTTAGCATTTTGAAGTGGAAATGTCGCCCCGGCATCCAGTCGTCCTCCGCAGAACGGAGAAAGGTCATCGAAATTTATTATCATTAGTCGCCCTTCTCTCCGCGTTTATGAAATACGACCGGGAGCGCCGTTTTATATATATTTTTTTCGGCGTTTTGCATTTTGATGTATACACGCGGAATCGAAAGCGGCGCTACACGAAAACATTGAACTTGATAAAAATTTATGGACGTTCTCCAGAAGTTTATTGAGAAAACGGTATATTGCTCCGGCTCCTGGGTATTTATGTATAACCTGTAGACTTCACTTACCTATTTTTTTCATTTAATATCCTACCTAATATCTAAATGATCTATACACATATATTCACTTAGGTAGGTATACAGACATGCTAATTAGTTATCACTGAAGTGGCGTTAATTCCAACGACCGAATTTAATATTAATTAACTCGCTAACACCTACTAATGGTATTTCCATTTCCGAATGTACCTACTACCTAATGAGGATCGGAGCGCGGAGGGCCTCGCAGAGGATATCTTGATTAGACCGGAGAGCGTCGAGGTATCCTTCAGAGTTTGATTGATGAGGCTGCACGTCTGCAACACACATACAACACGTCCATATCCTCGCAAATTGCCCTCAGTCACTATGTTTTAACTTTTAATAACTTCGGGCCCACTCCGGAAGGATCGATTCCGGGGCGCGTACACGGCGAAGAGGCCAAATGGAAACGTTGTGCAGAGAGATATTCAATTCGGGTACATATTTAACTGTAGTGCATTTTGTTTTTCATCAACTATATTAATCGAATTTTACTCATGAAATTGCTCAATCGCTTTTCTTCTATTTCATTCTGCCATTGTCCGTGCTTCTTGAAATGGGAGCCCACGATCAAAGCATCGGCAGAATGGTATTCTTGTGCGTTTTCCACCGTTACTCCAGATCCTATTAATATCGGTGTATTAATATTCAATTTAAGTTGCTTCAATTCTTCGATATCAGCAGCACAACCGGTTGCTGTTCCGGTTAAAATTAGCCCGTCTGATAGGAAATATTCCGCCGCTTTGGCTGTTTCCAACAAGGAAATATCCCCAGTTACAGCATGAGAACTACAATTTGATACAAATTAATAATAACCACTAGCAATATAAATGCTAGTAGTTACCTGTGCTTCTTTTTGATATCCGTGAAAACCAGCACATCGTCGGCTTCTATTTGCTTCCGGTATCGCAGGATCAATCCTGCGGAAGCGTCAGTGAAACCCTCGTCAGCTATGTGGCTAAAAACAAACCCTTCAGCCCTTATGAAATTTAACGAACACGCTTTGGCTACTGCTAAGGCTTCTTTGTTACCGCACGCAAGTATCTGGAAAGGGGGAAAGAATCTCTATCTATGTTCTGGATTCTGGATGAATGAAATCCTGGCCAGAACCCAAAAAACTTAATAGTTTAGAGCATATAAACATCTTTTAATTGAAGAATTAATGCATCTAGATACTTGAAATGGACTTGAAATACCTGGACACCAATGGGTTTGTTCTGTGGTACAATTTTTTTGATTTCGGTGCAGACTCTGGTCATTGAAGCGGTTAATTCGGGGCCGAAATGTTTGGATTGAATGTAAGGGATGTCGTGCATGTTTTCAATCAGTATTCCGTCCTGGAAAATTAAAATAAAAAATTGCACGGCATGTTTAATGCAGCGGTAATATACTTACAATGTCATGTTTAAGGTACAATTCGGTTTCATAACAGGCTTTCTTAACGATTTTGTCTATTGAACCGGAAAATAGCGGGCAGCCTAAAATATAATAAATCCTGCTTAATACGGTTCTGTTCTTTCGTAATAAATAATAAACACACTCGAACTAAACTACACTTATCTTGGGTCGTTTGCAGATAAATAATATCTCTCTATAACCAAACATATTGATGATACCTATTTCTAAGTGAACTCTTAAAAGTGCTCGTTTAATTTTATAGAATTACAATAGAAAAAAGTATAAGTTCGCTTTACCGGGAAGTGCCCCGACGTGTACCATTCCGATTACGGAGCAGGTTTTATTAAAAACCTTTCTAAATTTATCCATTGAAGAGCACATGTTTAAACACTGGCTGGCTAACCATACAACGGATATAATCTTATGATGACTTATAGCCCAGAGCCGTACTCATTATAATCAATGGGTTCATAATATAGGGTGTTAATTAAATGAATGCTGATACTTGATGTGATAAAACACAAATTGGAAATATATTTTTATTTATTTAATAAGAGTTTCCCAAAACAACAAAAATAACATTGCCTATCAAACGTTTGATTAAAATAATTTCTATGGTGCTATTATTTAACAAAACGTAATAATAATCTCAGTAAAATCGTAATGTTTTCAGTCGAAGAAATTTACATCACAATAATAAAATGCACTCGGATAAAATCCTTTATCATAGAAGGAATGTTGGAATTAAATGAGATTGATAGAACGATATTTAATAATCTCGATAAAGTTCTATCAAACCCAAATACAAATATCAAAAATGTTTATAACAATAAAGATAAAATCATTCGAAAAAGAAGCAACGTAATTAAATAAAATTAATAAATAAATAATAGTAATACAACAACCTCTAGGACCTTATGATACATATAGTCGGTGCAAAACAATTATCAATGCACTTGACAGCTAGTGCCTATCAACCTACTATAAGAAAATAATAATAATTTTATATAAAAACGTTGAATTTTGATAATTTATATTTTTTTTGGATGATTTAATTCTGCTTTTTAACATTTTCTATCATCCCTTGTTAATATTAAATTAAATTCTGCAGGTATTAAGCTTAATCTATTTTGTGTATTTATTTTTAAGAGTTGGACACAACGTTTGGCAAGTGTGACAACAGTAGTGACGTGCATTGATATTTGTTTTGCACCGACAATAGTTAAATTTTGAAACACACATATTAATACTAAATTAAATACTACACAAATATTTAAACACAAATTTAATTTAAATTTCGGCTCGTATTGAACAATCGGGATTAAATAAGTCTTTAAATTTCCCGTTAATCACCCATAATAAAACGCTTGATTTTTTCTTTGGTTAGTGCTACATTAAATTTCATCAACTAATTCAAACTTTACCCAAGAGATCGTGGCGGTAAATTTTTTTCTTGTACCCCCTTTTCAAATACATATAAATTACACCCAATATCAGCGAAAACGAGGCCACATACAACACCAGACACATAGTAGTATCCAGAGTTTTAAACAACCCGCCATCGACTTTGTAATTAAACGACCCGTCCAATCCCAAATGCAAAATACGAGTATCCGAACCGATGTACCTCACATTTATATTACTATACACGTGCTTGAGATACAACAGCACCTCCCCCACGTTCCAGTTACCGTCTTTGTTATAACACCGCGGACAGTTCGATTTCGAAGGGAATGGTCGCTTGGGATACTCCGGATCCTCCGTCTGATCACCGGACAATCTCTTATTGACTTCGTTGTGGGCCATCCACAGCCATATCACGGACTCGTCCCACGATCCCACTTTGAACATCTCCCGCCGCTCGGCCATCTGCTTGAAGTGCCCGGCGCACTCGGAGCAGCCGAAGAAGTTCGCGACGTAAGCGTACATGGCTTCCAGCACGATTCTGGGATTGGAACCGCGGCTACCTTCGTTGGTATCGGCCGCGTTGACCGTGAGATAGTGGAACATCTTCCACAGGCCGCAGGGGTACCCCCGGAGCGGCGGGGAGCTGCCTTTGCAGGCGAGCCAATGCTGCGGAGAGGAGAACACCAATTGGTCGTCGGCTTCGGCGTTTTTCAGCAGCTTGGCTATATCGTCGCCTTTTACTACTGTTTTGTACCAAACGAACTCCTTTAGTTCTTGCAGGAATAAGCGACCGTTGCGACCGAAAGGGAAGTACTTCGATAGGACGTTTACGTATAGTTTGAGGGCGGATAGTTTGTCGCCGGTGATTTCTTTTTGCGTGGATATTTCGTGTCTGAGCGAGTATCGTAAGGCGGTTTCTAAGTCCATTTGGAACACCACGTCGCCCATTTTTTTGATTCTTTCTTTCAACGCTTTTTTTTCTCTCGTTTCTAAATAATCCGACATGCTAACTTCTTTATTATCGGATGCTAGAGGTTTAGCTTCGGGGTTGTGTTTGATAGGGTGTACGTAATTTTCTATAACAGTTTTGTAATATTCTCTCTTAGCTTCGACTTTAATAACGTTGAATTTATCCTGATTTTCTAAATAAATTAAAGCAGGAACGTCTTTTATCTCAAATTTCGATACTAAATCGGTATTGTTGTCAAAAGCGTAGTTTATATTCGTTGATTTCAGCCGGTGCAAGTCCATGATAACTTCAGGTCCGATGTAATCGTGTTCTTTTTGTATTATAAGGAAGTTGTTTTGTTTGTGCGAATCGAACACTCCTTGTAATCCGCTGGAGACGTACGGGACGATTTTAGGAAACTGCTTGCCTCTGTTATCGATTTGTTCCTTTTGTATCGTTTCGATAACTTTCTGTCTGTATTCGTGAGCGTGGGTACCGACGGTGATTTTTTGTCCTAAATTCTGCGGTCCCTCCTTGTAATTCTCGTGGAAGTATTTGATGGTGGGGTAGGCCATTATTTCGAATTCCCTGCATATGGGCGTGTTATCGTCGTTGGAACAGTCTAACACGCCGATTCCGACGACGTCTTTCCAGCTTTTCACGTCTGTTGCGAAAGCCTTCCAGGAAGGGGCGAACCTCTGGCAATAGCCGCACCAGCTGTTGTAGAACTCTATCACCCAGGCCCTTTCGTTGTTGTACAGCTCGTTTTTGAAGTTCTCGATTGTCAAAATTTCGACATCGTCCTGCAGGGAATACAAGCCTACGTTTTCGGACAGCTTCTTGTACTTTTGTTGTTCAAAAGGATTCAAAGCCGAGTTGTTGGATAATCTCACTAGCGCGCATAGAATTAGCACGTAATAAATCGTTCTATCGAAGCAATAATAAAACATATTGTGGAAATATTCATCACTTTGCCAACTGTTTTGATGTATATTAATCTAAATAAAAGGTAGGTTAGGTATATGTCACTGTCATATTTTATTCTTCTTTTTTCTTATGAATTATCTTAATTGTTGACATAATTACATATTTCTGTGTTATTAATAAAATATTTAAGCGTTTACAAAACTACTTTATATCTTGTATTAGCTAAAAACATATCAACAAAAAATAAAAAAAGTTCCTAACTAAATAACTTTAAGGACAAGATCATTTGTTGTAAAAGAAAATTGACACTTTTTGACATTTGACGTTATTATTGACAAGCGCGGTCGATTCACTTTGTTCATATTTACCGTTCGTTTACTACCGGTTATCGTTGACATTATTTACAAACAAGCGAAAATAATATAATAATTTTACGTAATTTAACTTTTTACTAGTCTTTCTATTGTATTGATTAATTACTGTCGTTTACAATGAGCAGTAACAACGATTTAAGGCATAAAAACAAGATCACTACTCCTCTCAAAATTAAATTGGAAAGGTTGAATTTGAAAGTAGCTAGTAAAAAGGGTCTGTTTACTGAAGCAACAAAAAATGCGGAACCCGCAACACCTCAGGCACAAATCCAATTCAGTCAGGAACTGAAGTCAGTGTTGAACGAAAGGAATATTCTAACTTCTAAAACGAGAAAACGAGTTTTCGATGCTTTAGACGAGCTAAAAAAGAAAGGTATTTAAACTTATACACTCCTTATTATCTCTTCATAATGTTATACGTTGCAGATGAAGATGAGAAGAGGCTCATCAAGAGAGAAAGGGCCTTGTTGGAGGTGGTAAACAGCGAAATAAAGTATGTGCAGCAACTTGAAACCATCATACGATACTTCCTAAGGCCCACGGAAGAGAGAAAACTTCTACGTAACGAGGATTTCCAAATGGTATTCGGAAATATCATTCAAATTTACAATATCAACAAAGAACTCTTAGAAGAATTGGAGAAAAACCACAACAATGTGACAAAAACGTTGTTAAAAATCGCACCGTTTCTTAAAGTGTATTCCATTTACGCTTGCGAGTTCAAGAATGCTTTGAACATTTTGAAGGTAATTACTTTTTAATCTACTTTTCAATTATAAACGAAAGAATGTTTGTAGAATGCTCGAACTTTGACACCACAATTCGCAAAGTTCGTAGAAAATCAAGAAACCCGCCCGGAAGTCCAATGCAAATTATCATCACTACTCATCACCCCCATTCAAAGGGTACCTAGGTACAAACTATTACTCACCCATTTACTCGAATTAACCCTTCCCGACGAAAACGACCACAACGATCTCACAGGTACATTCATACACTTATAAATAAATTATTATTAACACCAACATTTTAGAATGCTTAGCGAAGATAGAAGAAACAGTGGAGCACATCGATAAAGTCATCCAGGACCAGGAAAACATGGTGAGGCTAGTGGAATTGCAGAGGTGCCTGAAATCCGGAGAACCCAACATCATAAAACCGGGTCGCACTTTGATCAAAGAAGGCGTTCTGAGCAAAATGGCGGCTCACAATAAACCGAGCGAAAAGCTATACACAGTCTTAACCAACGACATACTGGTGTTCATCAAGATGAAGACAGCGGAATTGAAAGTCGACTCGATGAAGTGCCACAGCATTCTTCCTTTGGGCAAATGCAGAGTAATGGAGATACCCGACAAAGGTTGCATGAAGATAATTTGCCAGGACGAAGAGCTGATCCTGTACCATGATCATTTAGAGCAAACGAAAATCTGGATTAATATGATTGCCGACTGCATTAATGATTACTTGGACGGGAAGAAAACGTTGAGGAAAGAGAGCTCGTCGAGGAGGCCGGCCAAGAGGAAAAACTTAATCGAGTACCACGAGGTCGGTTTGAGTCCCGGGAAACCGTTGAAAAAAAGGAAAATTGTTAGTTTTAATTCGATTATACTCGTTTGTTAGCATCTAATGTTTGTTTTTAAAGGAGGCTAGCAAGGGATGCCTGAGGGATAACCAGTTTGCGGTAACCGGTCGTAATGCTATAACCAGGACACCGTGGGAGTGTGATAATCAAATAGCATCTACATCAACTACTAGCACGTCGATTAGCGCTGAAGTTCCACCGGCTCAATCAAGGGAAATGTTTGTGTTTGGTAGAAATCAAGTAGATGATACCAGCTTCAAATTCTTCAAAGTATTCAACGGCATCGGTTCGTCCATTAAGAAAATGTTCAATTTTAAGTCGTAGATTGGTGTTTGTACCGTTTGTTGTATGAATAATTTTTTGTATATCTAGGATAAATTCACTCATTTTTTATTTTAAGTAAATATATTTAATGAAGAAATATAAGTAGTACACATTCGAGATTATTTTCTAAAGATTACAAAAAAAATAGAGGTATATCTGTTTTTGGTACTTAACATTAAAGTGCTTCACACTGGCGAACATTGCACACGAATAAAACATACAAAACGACTTTAATAAATGCACAAACGAAATAACAACAACCATCCAGATCTATACTCTATTTAAAAACGAGAAGGAGCATTTTAATAAGCCTGACTTACACCCAAAAAAGTTTCTAGAAAATTTGTAAGGTTGCAAATTTAAATGCACATCGTTCATTTAAATAAAAATGAATGTAAACTCACAATAATTGTATTAAAAGAAATGAATTAACAAATCACCTAAATACAACAATAAACAAACGCGAGTGTTGCCAACTTAAATTCAAATCGCTTCCCCTAGTTTTTAAATAGAGTATACAGGTGGAATCGATATTTTGAAAAATAAAAACGTTACTTCGGTAACATACAAAATTTAAGCATAAGCTAGCTCCTTTCGAGACCTAACACTAATCCAATATAAACGTTAAAAAGACACTGACGTGACCCAAGTTTTCGTTCGTCTCGATTCTTATGCGGCGTGGACAGACTAGAACAAAACGAGCATTAAAACCAATCAAATCCTCTCCTAATTATATCCTTTTCCCAGCTAAATTCGTTTCTTTTCGGCTCGCAATCGCGATTAAAAAATGCTAATCGTCCGAGTACTCATACTAACCTTCGAAATATCAACACCGGTCATGCTCTTGACCAGTTGCGGTACTTTATTGACAATATCGAGTATCTCTCCAGTGAGTTTAGCTGCACCAACTTCCCCACTTCCCGTGGAAACCATCGTAATTTTCTTAGCCTGAGCCAAAGGAGCCGCAACCTCGGCTGCCACCTAAAAACCACCGCATTAAACCCGATCCAGCGCGTTTAAACAATCTAGCATACTTTAGGTAAGACATCCAGATACATATCGATCATAGCGGCCTCCTTGTACTCCTTCCAGGCTTCAGCTTTCTTCGCCATTTGCTCGGCATCGGCCGCAGCCTTGGCTTGAATAGCGAACGCTTCGGCTTCGCCTCTCAACCTCACCGACTCGGCTTCAGCTTCGGCTTCCAGTAGAATCCTCTTCGAATTCGCCTCGGCAATTCTCTCCAGCCGGTATTTCTCAGCTTCGGCCGGTCTACGCACCGTAGACTCCAATTCGCGTTCCCTTCTAGAAATCTCTTGCTCTTGCACTATAAAATATCATATACAAAACGAGAAACGAGGTGGTAATAGGTTAGCGTACCGGCTATTTGTTGCGTTCTTTCCACCACCTGGATCTGCATCTGCTCCTCTTTGATCCTCTGCTTGGTCTTGGCGGCCTGCAGCTCGTAGGCCAGCTCGGCTTCGGCGCTCTTCGTTTGCACCTCGACGTCGTAGGCGGCTTTCTTCAGCTCGAAGTCGCGCTTCGCCTTGGCGATTTCGGTGTCGTTGAGGAACACCGAGGCCATGCGCTGCTCCTCGGCGATGGCTTCTTTGATTTGCGCCTCGGCGCGGGCTTCGGCTTCGCCGATGCGCGCGTCCCGCTTCACCTCGGCCGTTCGCGCCATGCCCAAGCTCTTCAGGTAGCCCTTCGGAAGAAAGCAATTCGGTCAATGGCGATCGGAATTTTGGATTGATCGACGAAAAGAACTCCGTTTTGTTAGATATAATTGTGGGGGGTTTTAAATGTGCTTTTTTTTCACTCAAATTGGGGAAATGTTAATGCATATTTCGATAACGAATAGGTACTCACGGGTAAAATAATATTTAGATACTTTTAATATTGTAGGTTGTAAATCTCACCCGTTCATCATAACTCTGCAAAAAAAACAAATATAGAGGGTGTTAATTGAGTGCGGATACTTCAGGATGTGAATATTTGGATGATTTTAAGAAGAAAAGTTTTTATCAATATATGTCCTAAACCTCTTTAAGGTATATCATATGAAAATTATGATAGAAAAGTTATTTCTTTTCAAAAATTGTAACACCCTGTAGCTCGAAAACTAAAAGAGGTTTAGGACATCTATAGATATAAAATATTCTTCTTAAAATTATCCAAAAATCACATTCTCAAGTATCGGCACTCAATAAATGAACACCCTGTACAAAAATGAATATTGGACGTTTCATTTAAACAAATTGTTAGTTACTCTTGCTGTATGATCGAAACGAATACAATTTATTAGACGAAATTAATTCAAGGAAGCACTACTAATCGACTATTACGTGGGGAATTTTCCAATTAATTTTCTAAAATAGAGTTCTTAACGTTTACTGGTATTAAAAAATTCAACACAAATATCGCTCTAATGAATATAAAAAAATATATTACCTGATTCGTAACTCCATAATAATCTAGTTTATCAATTAGAATGTTTTATCTAAATATGCTAATCAGCGCCTAATAAGCCGATTTATTTCTATAATTTTTTTTATACGAATTTAAAATTATTATAACACTAATCATATAAAAGCATGCCGTATAAAAAAATCTCATTTTTTACAAACACTCCATGCACATCTTCGGGTGAACGACGAATTTCTTCGACAATCACAAAACGAAAAACATTTAAACGTACCTTTGCGCCCTTATCGTAGCAAACGAAAAACGAAAATTTAAATAAAATGCTAACCGATAGTCGAAAAGAAATCGATGAAAAATCGATAATTACCTCTTCGTCTCTGATGTCCTTAAGTGTGTAGGACACCACCGTGATGCCCATGTTGACCAAATCGGACGAGGCCACTTCGAACACCTGCTTGCTGAACTTCTTGCGATCCTTGTAGATCTCCTCGACGGTCATGGAGCCCATGATGGCCCTTTGGTGGCCCTCCAGAGTGTGAAGGGCGATGTGCTGGATTTCGTCCTGCTTTTTGCCCAGGAATTGCTCGCAGGCGGCCAAAAGCATCTCCTCGTTTTGACCCTGGATTTTCACCTACGATAAAATTCATTAACCCGACGATTTTTAGCGCAAATTAATCGAAAATATTACTTGTGCTATGCCTGTAACGGATATAGGTACACCCTGGCTGGTGTAGACCGTAGGGCTGTCTACAATAAGAGTCATCGTATTCAGCGATATCCTTAAACGAAAAAAATAATTTCTATTAACATTCGCAAAATTGCGGGATACTTGGCTCGGGGAAATTTTCTAATTCTTCCGATTAAAATTGCATAAGTCGTAATGTTGAAATTCTATAATCGAGTAAATTGCAAAAATTATTATATAATAATTCGCCGCGGGTCATGTAAAACACTTGCGTGTATTTTTCAGGACGAGATTTCATAGATATATTATACCCGTTATTTCAAAATGATCATACACGCCCTATTCTCTTACTCGTTCTTCCATAAATACGAATTAACGTCGACACTAATATAAATAACGTGCGATTTAAATTTCTTCTGTTGGATAAAAATCGCGAGATTTATTGCGATTGAACGTAGAATTTTTGAATTAATAACTCTCAGAAAGCAAGGTGAATTATACAACGATCTTAATCGTTATCTGGAAAATTTAATAATCCTCTTATTTTAATCAAACGATGCATTTAGCATTTCGCGGCGCGGTTTAATGAACAATTATTAAGTAATAATAAGGAATAGTTAGGCGAAGTTAATGATAATGACCTCTGGAGGCATTGCCGTTCAGATAGGAAGGATAAATCATTAAGAGATGCACGGATGCTTGCAATGCTACAAACGATCGAATGTTTATGTAATAGATAAATGCATGAAAAATGAACGCTATTATTCATCGAAGGCATTGACTTCTGTCATACCTACTTTTGCGTGGGGATTGCTACAGATTTTATTGCATGATGTATTTACGTGCTATATTCGGGAATGTAGAATTTTAGGATTTTTTTTAAAGAAAAATAAAATCAGTTCAAGTCAATTTGCTTAAGCATTAAGGCTACTATTTACGTTACTGTTTCTTATGTAACTCACAATCTTGCATATCTTGATATAAATGGAGGGCTTTGTACTCAATATACAGGGTGTTTTTGAAATAAGTGGTCAAACTTTGGGAGCAAGTAGAGAACGTTGATTTTCCGTAAAGTGAATTGTTTTCTCGAAAAATTATTTTTAAAATTCTGATACACAAAATTATTAAACTATAAAAATCTAGTAGGAATGAACTTACTTGACATTTAAGTTTTTGTCGTATTTTAAGGTTCTCTACTTGCTCCCACTTATTTCAGAATCACCCTGTATAAGAAGTTATACATAAAATTATTTGAATTACCTTTGTATTTTTTGTATCGAAGGCCATACGAAAGCTCTTCCTCCGGGAACCAATAACGGTTTGCTGTAACAACATCCTACAAAGCACCAAAATCATATAAAAATGTTTTTTATACAAGGATTGTAAAAATAATTGGGTCAAATTGTGCTAAATAAGTCTTTTTGGAAAACATTTAATACGGTCCTGAAGTACAAATGGCTGTCGAGCGACCTTGTCAAGAATGTCTTACTATAATCTACGATATCGTAGAAAATGCTATTGTAATGAATGAAAATGTCATTCATCTTGTGAAAATGTCACAATTTTGACAATAAACCGGAAGCTTAAAATAAAAAAAATCAAGTTAACTACTGTCAACCGATTATGAAAAGTGAAACTAAAATAACATTACACGCCCATAATAAACCAATAAAGTACAATTAAAAAAAGGAATTAACTTTAATTAATTTCCAGTTAAATCGTTACATCTAAATTTAAACGACCATGAAGCGTATACCTAACCTAACTTTCGTGCAAAAACAACACTATTCGATAAAGCAAACAAAATAAACGTACCCGAAATAACCAAAGCTTCGTTAGGACCACAAGTGACGAATCCCCAGGTCATTTTTGCCAATAATTACCACGGGAACACAGGAATTATACAAAAATTGTGTCTAATCCAAGTTTTGTTAACACCCAAAAAAACATAATCTAACTACAAATGACAAGTGTGTAGCGCGTGCGCGTTACATAACCTCGTGAATTCATTGATTATCGAAGAGTTTTTGAACAGGACCGTATTAGGATTTTTGTAGTTATAATTATTCGTATATTCCTCAAATTTCAAGTGGATTAAAGTTAGTTTATTTAGTATTGGTAAAGTTTATATGTAATAAATTGCCTTAGTAGATTTAAAAAGTGTGGAAATTGTTGTATAAAAAAAGGTGATAAAAAGGATGAAAATTTGTGAAATAAAACGGGAAACTTCGATTTACTAAATTGATGGCGGGATTTACTAGAGGATATCGAGATGAGATGATGCTATTATCGCCTAAATTGTGTGACCTTTCAGTCCGCATCGCTTGAAAGTGGTCGATAAACGTATGACCCAGTTTTCCCACCGACGATGCCACATTTGAATTATAAAAATCCATACACCAGGAATTTTCATTATTTCTCCAGCTACACCAGCATCTTGCATTCATCTACATACATATAACCCATCGCAATTTCCAATTTAATATAAATAAAAAAAAACTCGTGCGACAGTTTTCCCTCTTCAAAAATTTTCGAATGCAATTTCTCCATCACCAAGCTGCACCTGCACCGTGCATCAATCCCACCAACACCACGTTCGAATCGACTTCAACGCAGCAATCGCGCCGCCTCCTGGCCTCCTGCCTCCTGCATGTCGCTCCGTCGCGCTTCCACTCGTTCCAGTAAACCAAAAAATCCCAACTAGTAGACCAGCAGACGGTAATCAGTAATCGGTAACGCAGTATCGCAGCGGATGCGTTCTCCGGGAGCGGAGCACTGTGGATCGGAATCGGACGAGTTGCGTGCGTGAATGCGCTTTTACACGTCGTGAGAAAAATGCGGTGCAGCACCTGTGGCAGTCGGAAAAGTCGCGAGCAGAAGTAGCCGATGGTCGATCGTCGTGTGACACTTTCGTAGCCGGTTTTATCGCTCCGTTCGATGTTCGTTGTAAGTGTGATTCGAGGTTAGATCATCGACGTCTTGTTTTGTTGTTTGTTGTTTTGTATATTTTTTTTTGGCACCGTTTTTGAGAAATTTTTTGGGCTTGCTTCGACCTTTTTGGCGGGATTATTCTGCTGTTCAACGGTGAGTCTTTTTGAAATATACTAACTACCTAATAAGTACCTAAGAGTAACTACTTAGATACTAGGGTTAATTGGTAATTTGAGGGATGCATATACCTAAACAAATTTACATGGTTATTAAACGAGGAATTTTTTGTGGAGTTTGGTTTTGGACTGTCTCCAAAATCGTTTGATGGCTGCACGTGTGGAGGAGAATCTTACGAAATTTGCATCGGGACATAAATATAAATTAGGTGTATTAAACCTAAAGTGTGCACTTGCACTTGCACTATTTCAAAATTTGTACATCTCTCACATTTGGGATATTTTCCTAACTTATTTCTCCAATACAAGTATACAAGCAAAGTTAATAATTTACCAAAAGGTTTTTTAACGTTTTGAAAGCAATACTTTTTTCACAACAATGTTTTACTTGTGCACGAAAACGTGCCTAAAAATCTAAACACAGTAAATCAAAATATCGACAATTAGTATTTATTAAAATTTATATTTCCTTTAGTGCTTCTAAGAATTGTTTCATTTAAACAAATATTTTTTAACGTTTCGCTTGACTCGTTGTCTAATGAGCATTTATCATAAATGCCTTTTTTATTCCGGTTTGGTAATTCGGTAAACTGTTATTTCCATAAGAGGATATTTAAATTCCATTATACGCATTAAATCGAACGGAAAAATCGTTAATTTCCTTTTTAGAAAATTAGAAATTGGCCTATACAAAACTGTATCATAAGCATAATTTTTATACCTCCTTGTAATATGTTAATAAAATTTATAATACTATGTATAAACAATATAGTTATCCTACAACGAGTAGACGAAAAAAATATAATGAGGAAAGAACAATTAACCTTGAATTAGATTACATCCTCAATGGAGAACAACGTAAGGTGTTCTGAAATGTGCTTAATATACAGAGTGTTTTAAAGAATGAAATAAAATTTACGTTGATTCTAATTGGTTTGTATTATGATTAACTTCCTACTTATCTGCCATCTGGACTTTCATTTCTAGCAGGTATACAGGAAGGTAAATATTTCACCAATTGATTGTACCAAAAGTAGAAAGTTAGTTTGGTTTATCTAAAGATGCATTTAAGTGCATAATTATTTAGAAATTTTTTTCTAATCTGATAATAGAAGGTTTGTTTGAATAAGTAGTAGGTAAGGGTGGCGAATTTTAGAATTCCAATGGCTACAATATTTTTAATTCAAATTCCGATTCACTTACAGTTGTAGAAATGCTTTGATATATTATTATTTAAATAAATAAGCCTATTTTCGTAGTGAAAATTTCCGAACACGCGTCTCGAAATATGTGAAATTTGTTGATTGGATTTCAATTCGATGTAGAAAATAATAAAAATAAAAATTCACAATAACATCGATGGAAATAACAATTATTCTTAACATATTATTTTTATGAGGTATAACTCGAGTAGGAGAAACGAACAGCCTGAGTAGATTACGTTGAATAATTTTATCAAAATAAGTACATACCCCGAAGCTAATACGATAGAAACGATAACAATTCTATTGTAATTTTGATATTTGCACTGGCTTTCGTAAAGTGAACGTAATATTAATATAGAACGGTCACTTACCTAGCCACTTGCAATGTTCAGAAAAATGAAATATAGCACAATAATAAAATAATTAAATAATTTATCGCAACGCCTTTCTATATTACGCTTATGTAAGTGATTTTTTTATTGTTAAATTAGATTATTTAATCGTTCATTATTTTGCCAAAAAATGTACCTATAAATAGATTACCAATTATATTGTTCATTTTGTGTCTCTCTACCTATGAAATATATCGAGAAATGTAGTTAAGTTTGTTAAATCCACAATATTTTAACCGATAACCCGAAAGCGCTTCCTTTGTAGAGAATCATCAGGTGGCATCCGAGATAATTAAATACGAAAGCAGGTGGATAAATATCCTGTTGTATCCCAACCGTGACCGATAATAATCTTCACGAGGGGTTGAGACCCGAATGATTCTTAGCGAGAAATTTCGTTAGACAAACCGGAAAAAGCATTTCCTGGCCGCTATATAAAAGACGTTATTCGAAATTATCCCAATGTTCCCACCCTGCATATACAAAATACTCGACAATTCTTATAAACAAAAACACCTTGTATATCTTTTGGAAACAGTTCGAATAGATTTTCATCGCACGGAATGCTTTTAACGCACCGTCTCTAAAATCAATAGCAAATGGGTAGCACAAACACAAACAGTGTGTCACTAGTGCCTGTCCCATATTTCGTGGAAAAAGTAAATAACGTTGTTTTACATGGCGAAAGACAAGTGGAAGACACAAGTCCATCAGACGTCGACCCAGATTGGGCAATTCTCGTTCGTGTATCGTATATGCGTGCGTATTCGTGTTACTTACATATCGAACAGGATATCGTGGATGAATAAATAAAAATGAGGCCGATGTTATTATACTCCGTTCGCCATCAGGAGATCGAAATAAAAACCTAATTTTGTATGCAAATGACAGCACGGAGTGTACCATTTTGTGTAATAAGATTTTAAAAAGAGTTCGTAGAGAACACTTTGGGAGATCTTGATTAAAAAAGATCAGCTCAATTCGAACAAAGTTCGAACATAACTTCATGAGGTATCCAGGACCAAATTTTACTATTTCCCTCTATATTCAAACGAATAAAATTCCAATTTCATCGACTAGCATCTTTTGTACGAAAAACTCTCTTTCTAACTGTGAGATTTTTCACCATTCCTATACTCTACAGCGAACGATACATCTACATGTTAGATGCGAATGACAAATGAATCTTATCAGCTCTTTATTAATATTTATCTAGATCGTTTTCTCTATTTTCTTCGCGTGTTTATCTGGGAATTTCGCGTACGCGACTTCCCACTGACGCCCGTACATCGAGATTAACTTAGACGATTTTACGTGGAAGTGCACTTAAGCGCGCGGCGATTAAGTCTTTTTATGCAAATTGTTGGATCGTATACCGAAAGAGAAGGAATAACAGACGGCGCAACAACGGGAATGCGTAATTTCTCTCTTTGAAATTTCCTCTCGCAAACGTCCTACGTGCTCTGCGAAATATTACCTTTTCTCCGCGCTGGGAAAAAACGTTACCGTTAAACGGAAGATTAAAGTTGGGGTTTCTATTCGATTTCGCTCGAGCCGCAAGTGTATTGGTAAAAATCTCGTATAAAATCTGTTTAATTTCGCTAAACATTGTTGATTAATTGGAGTAACGGATTTACATCTTTTGTCTAGTACCAGTCACGTATTAGATTGACACTCGAAGAGTAATTTGATTTTAGAAACCGCATTGTTGAGGTGCGTAATGGATATTTCCATTTCGAAAATCGTAAATCGGCGTTGTTTTTCGTTTTGGACGATTGCCACTTGTGGGAACGCTTCGATTTTGTGATATTCTATTCGAAAATTGTATAACTGTAGGTAATCGATTAAAGTATCATCAAGTATCGCACATTGTGGTCGAATTTTAATCATTTTAGTACGAAGATAGAGCCTAATATACGTTGAAAACAGTAGTTTATTTTGAAAAATGAACCGTTATTAAAGAAATAATTCTCTCACAGATATATTCGAATTTAATAAAACAATAAACAAAAACCAAAATGAATAATTTACGGACAACAAACTAAACCCACAAATATTCGGTTTGAGTGCTGCAATGAAACGTATCATTTAATCGTTAATTTTTCTTTGTTAAATAAATTTACACAGGATTTGATAGTTGTTAACTTTCCGAAAAACCGCAAAATGCAATAGCATTTTCCCGTGACTAATTCGAATATCTTTAGATATGATATCACTATATAATACATGTTGCGCCAATGCATATAAATATTAACTCAAACGATTCGAAATAATTGTTTATTCATAAGTCAATAATTTATGTAGATATTGAGGATTATCAATATACTCTCGAGAATATGAAGGTTGAAGATGTGCTCAGGCATATAGGGAAACTGAAAATAATCGTTATTATGCTCGTTTAGTTTCACTTAAAATTTCAACGTCACGTTTTCCTATTAGAAATATGACGAATACAAGGAAGTGTATACGTATTTATCGAAAATTGCCATTCGTCCGTCATGCACGTCAGTTTTTACGTGTAAAAGTCACGATGGATTTTTACCTGCGCTTCCACTCGTAAGGGATTTACATTGATTGGCACTCGACGGGTAAAAAGTAAACCGAAACGCTTACATATTGTATCGATCGGCTCTATATAATTCCGAATTAAATCAATCACTATCGATTGACCTATGACTTAACAGCCATCCGACGAAGGTAGTCTGCGCAACGACTTTTAAAACATTACGTAATAACATTTTGCAGTACTCTGAAATTACTTTCTGATAAAAGTCCAATTTTCAACAGTTTTTTTTTGAAGGCTGTTGATGTACGTTTAGAACGAAACTAGCTGCTGTTTTCGTTTAAAAACCTCTTGGTAATTGAACAATATTTCTTTATCTACCGCATTTTAGTTGATTTCATGTAACATTAGATTCACTGCAGTTCTACTCGCTATAATTCAGCATTTCGATGTCGTAACGCGACTTTTTTCGAGCTCCTCGAGAGAGGAATGAACTTCAACGCCCAGAGCCCTTTTCCGATGATTTCGCTTTGCGTATAATAATTACATCTTTATTTCGCTCGGCTCGTACACAACAATTATCACAGGTGTTGCGGAGGTTGTTCTTCGACAACGAATATTCGCGTGCATTTCGAATTTCGAAATTGAAGCGGACTTGTCTCGTAGGCAAATAATAAGTCACGGTAAGGCGGATAAATCCAAAAAAAATTACGATTGGATAATTTTCCTTAGTGAATTGCGAAACGAAAGCAGGAAGGAGAATTTCGGGGATAGTAAAAGTTTATTAATACCTAAATTAGATTATGTGAGGAATTATGTGGCGATAATTAAATTCGTTTCGATACGCTTGTTGATGGTAAATTTTATTTATTTTCGCTTCAGTTGGAATTAGCGGGTTAAACCAATCAACTTTTATAATACTACATTTTTATTTATAATTCTGTTCGGCTAAAATATTCAAAGTTAACATGATTAACATAGAACATGTAAATGAATATTCCTCCAAAGCTAATCGAATTATCGGTAATATGAAAACAAGTTTTTACAAAAACATCCTAATTATATACACAAACATAACACAATTAAGCAAAGCTGTATGTAATGTAGTATCAATTTTATTTTAATTATAACTACATTAAAAACACAAGTAGAATAATATCCAATGGAAATTTCATCTGAAGGTTATTGGATATTTCCAAGTACGATATTTTAAGCAAAGAATTTTAAAACTTCTCAGTTAGGAATAAAAACATGTAATCACTCAGCAGGTAATTAAATCGTCTACAGAGCGCGTAATTATAAATAATATTTATGCAACATTTAACAAATTAACTTTAATTTATCGTAAAGTTACTAAATTGTTTATATTTGCAGCCTATAATTATGCCATTGGGTAAGTTAACTTTATCGCTCGTTAAAATTTTTAACTACCCAATTTAATAACGGGCATGTTTGAGTTAAATAAAAAATTGTGGGTATATTCACCCTGTACATAATCCACTTAAAGTTATTTCGTATTTCTTCTCTTATAATTTCTGATTAATTTATACGTTGTTTGTATTCATTCAAATTAAATAGGTATTTGTAAAGATTGTTTGAAATTTAATAGGCTTCTATACATTATACCAAAAAAGTATTCGTACACTCGTATTATAATCATTATACGTGTAATTACCCGTTTAATAAATATACAAATGAAAAAACAATTAACAGGCAGATTTGGCTCCATTCGATCCAAAAATGTTATACTTACTCTCATCTGACAATATAACCTGGTTCCAGAACTCTAAACGTTTATTAATGTAACGCTTAGCAAACTCCACTCTTAGCTTTCGATTTTTCTTATTTATCCTTGGCTTTTAGCAGGTCTTCTTCCTCTATATTCTAATCGCTTAATGTGGTATCGAGGAGTTTCCGGATGGATCTTATGCCATGTACTGGATTCCAGTTCAGAAACGATGTATGGAGCACTTACAAAGGGAATTTTTTTAACTTTTTGATAAATGAAATTCTGATCTCGTTGAGTTAACTTGGCAGTACCTCCCGATCTTGACTTATTTTCCACGGAACCAGTAGATTTATATTTTTTCACAATGTACTGAACTGTAATATGTGTTTTTTGAACAATTTTACCTATCTCCTTATATTATTTTCCTTCTATAAAATGATGGATGATGACTTTTTTAAGTCACCATCTATTTCTTCAGTTTTTCTAGGCATTTTAAGGTAAACTTGAATTATTTTGAAAACAGAACTAGGAGCTCAACCTAATACTAATATACCGGCGAAAACAATAAACAATTTAATATCTACAGAGTGAAGAAATTGATAAAACGTTGCTGTACGAATACTTATTTTGGGGATAATGCAAACATTTTTCGTTTTTTTTTATTTTACATTTTTAATAACAATGTTAATTAATGATTGCAAGAATAGTCTTGAAATGTAGATTTTAATTTGCTAGTTACTTCTTGTTTCTGTTTACTGAACGCGGACTTCCAGAACATAATGCAACTGTACGAATACTTTTTTGGTCTACTGTATGTACATAATTGCAAAGTTACTTGGAATCTATGTATAGATAATAAAAATACTCGTATATAAAATCAAGTCACGATAGGTAGATAGCCGATTGGCGAAATCGTTAGCGATTAATCGGAAACGAAATTTTCCGATGAAAAACGTTCCTTTTAAAAATCGCCCCTTTTCCGCTTTCGAACTGGTTTTCGTGTATTTATCGGTTTTCGTGATAGCGAGAGGAAATATCGAGTATAAATACACGAATTCGTTATTATTGCATGCCGAACGAATGAAGGTTTTCTAAAAGGTTAATTCTAATGTAATTCATTTTAATAACAAGCACACTATACCGGGTGCTTCCCGAAACTTATGCGAACAAAAATAATAAATTCCAACTCAACACAATGCATAATACACCGACCAGTGTAATCATCATTTATTAAATAATTTTTCCCTTTTATTCCTGCCGTAATTACATTTGGTTTTATGATAATTACGCTCGGCATTCGAAGAGTGGCGAGTCATTTCGAATGATTTTCTACTCGCCTTTCTTATACCATCATGATGATACCCATTGTGGTGCCGTTAATTACTTTCTTGAGGTATATGGTAGCTAATTATACGCGAAGAATCGAGCAAAAAATAAAAATAATATTAAGCATATTTATCAACAGCTTGTAAGCTTGTTAAACGAGTTGAAACTAGTGTAGATGGAACTGATTTTTATTTTTCCTTTTCAGATACCACGAAAGGAAACCATGTAAATTCGAAGAGGCTCGATAAAATTGTATATACGGGTAAGTGAATTGTAATTGTTTCAATAGAAAAAAGTACTTAATAGCGAGTATAAAGGAAAGCGAGCGCTGGCACAATTATTTTGGTTTTTTCCTCGAAGTGAAATCGTAATTTTAGGATATTTTCCGATTGTGCGGAAACGGCACTTCATAAAAAAGGAGAACACGAGTGAAATTCTCGATAATTAAAATTCATATAATGGCCACTTCTCATAGCCTTAATTGACCTTTAAGGCTAATTGTGCGTAATCGTCGGTGATGCTCATTTCGAAAGATGAAACAGGTGAGGAAATTTACCGGGCGTAATAGTAATAATCGTTATTTAGAGAAAACGGAAGTTTCTCTCTCGAACGGTAATTCGATTACCTGCGAAGTTTATTAGGAAATTATCCCGCTCATCTTTCTATAATATACGAGAATGGGATTTTATACAGGGCGGACCCGAATGCGCCTGTGACTAATTAATTGCATTAGTAGAAATTGAATTACTATTTTATTATGATTTTTAATGGATCGAAATTTCGAAGGATTTTTCTCAGCATATTTTTAATAAGCTACGCTTTCTTTTATCGACGTTCATATTTCTCATTTTCAACATCAAAATCGATTATTAGAAATAACTGGAGCATACGAAATATTTCTACTAATTGAATCGAAAAAATTAATAACAAACCGATATTTTCACTTTAGATATTATTTGCAATATACGAGGAGCCGCGAATATATTTCTAACTTCATTAAAACGTTCGATATCGACTTTTTCTGTTATCCCATATATGACAAATTGCCGGGAACTCATTGTTTCACTCGTAAAAGTTTATTAGGCATTGTTGCAATTTCAGCATTATGAATCACATCGTCACGGGTCGGATTTCTCGCTGCCTTTACGACGATCGAAATAAAAAATTAATAGGTAACACGAGCCGAATAATAATCACTTTCTATACGTATATACCCATTCTTATTATGATTTATTACCATGTCGATTCGTTTCAAATGGGACTCTCCAAAACGGCTCATTGATTTGAGGAAAGTGTGCGTACAAAAACCGCTTAATTGTAGCCACAAGATCTTGCATATAGCAACAAAAGTATCTAATGCGTGCTTTAAAATTTAAACATTTTTTACCTTCAACTTCCAAACAATTATGCACTCGAATAATATTCGACAAGGTCGAAAAAACGATTCCTGTCTCTTTAAAAATAGTAAAATTGAAAGTAAATTACGACAAGGTAATAACCGGGCATCTTGTGCAGTCTTCTCCGATACTTTTTTTCTCCCCGCTGATACCAAGACATAAACCGAGACAGTTCTTATTACCTAATAACTTTTATACCGACAAAAAAACAGATGCAACAGAAGAAGTAGCGAAGGAATTACTGTAATTTCCTCCGGTACGAATTTCTGTCTTGTTCTTCGTTTTTACGACTGCGAAACGCATTAATAAAACCTACGGGGTGGCTCGATTTCCCGAACATCGAGCGTTCCACGAGGAGAGGAAGCCGTAAGGAGAAAAAAGAGCGCTTTTACAAGAAGTCGAGCGTGCTCGCCAGCTGTTAACAGTACGTTATTTTAAGACAGACGCGCAATGCCTTTATTTACAAGCCTATTACTGGAAAACGAAGCGACCTTTGATGAAATGACTCAGCGAAGAGTCAAGACTTTCAATTATAGTTAGACGTTAAACGATCGAGTTCGGAGCGACCGAGTTAATTGTTTAATTAGAAAATTCGCGGGGAATCAGAAGTGGGATGAGCGCGGACGATGCGACCGTTTAATTTTTATTGTTGATAAAATGAGGTGAGGAATTTATCCCGAGTTATACAAACAGCTCGTAACGCATCGGACATCCTTGGGAACAAGGTCAGTTACACGATTTAATCTTCGGATAAACAATACAAACAATATGCATTTACAGTTACGTCTGCTGCTCGGATGCTCCGTTAGGCCGAAATTAAAATTAGCTGCTCTTCTTTTATTAAATCGAGTTTTGGAATCGTGAAAGCAAAAGTGTTTTTTTCCGCGAGTACTTTTAATGCCGCGGTAAAGCGAACTAATAAGGAAGAAAAAATTAATAATTCATTATGCGATTCGAGCGCATTTAAAACTCTGCATTCATTCGATTTGATGATACGTTTTATGTAACTACGTTTACGAGTGCATCAACCCGATTTAATATTATCTAAATGCATTTAATTGTTCTTGAGATAACGCGAATGAGACGTTCCCATTGTTAATTTACTCTTATTAGAACATGTTACAGGGTGATTTCGTTTTATTCGCGCAAGATGCAATTTTAGTATATGCAATTGTGTTTCAAATTTGATACTGCAAATAAAGTTCTTCGAGACTTTCACTCACGAATTCCGAGTTCGTTGGTAGATTACAAGAGAATTATATCATTCAGCAGGGCTTCGAAATACTCTCACACGAACGCCAACAAAAACATTAAAAAAGTAATTGATAGATTAAACACAAAATCGTTTGAGTGCGCAGGAAATAGTTAAATTTAATTGCCGGCGGTTGTAAATTCGTACATTTTATGAGGAGGCTTTAAACTATGTAAATCGTAATTTTTATGTTATATTTCATGCTAATCGAATTCGACTGAAAAATATATTCCTCGATAGCCGTGTAATCCCTTTAATCGTGTGATTTATAGGCGTACAACAAGTAGCTATAATTTTCCAGCCGCGGATTTGCAAAAAAATAAACGTTCAGACCTTCTTTTTTGCGACCGTAAATTACGCGACTCGCTGCGAATTGCAAGAACTAATACGAATCCCGCGAGCTGTGCAGGAAACGCCGGTATAGAATCAAACGAAGCCGCGCCCGAGCAACCCAAAAATTCCTCTCTACCGGCCGAAGGCGCGAAAGTAGACCAACCGGGCCGGCAGGAGGGCCGATTACTCGGACTCACCTGCAATCCGTTTCGGAGATCCGGTGCAGCGGCGCATATTCTTCGAAACGGATCGATATCGTATGCAATTTCCGGCCTTGAACTTGACTTTCGATGTGCAATTACTCCACTTTTTGCTTTCTTCCATTGCCTGCGAAAGAATTTTCTTCACCGAGGCTCGATGTCGCGCAACATCTCCAGCGAGAGTGTGGAGTTAGGAAATAAAATAATTTCACCTGTTATTGAGCTGTTATTGCTTAGTTTGGTATATGTTTTGTTATGATTTCAGGGCGTAATGTGCCTGGTTTGTGGACGACTTTGGACCGCTTTGCAAGTATTATGGAGTACGTTTTATGTGATTTGCGGCGCTGCTCAATTGATGGTCGGAGTGTTTTTCCTCATCTCCGTGCCCGACCTGCAACTCTACGGAGTTCTAATCGATGGAGCATGGGTGAGTTGGCGTAGCGCACCGTGCGATTATTTACTATAAATAATTTCACGAAGGTTCTATTTTTACCGATTGTAATTCATATAGAACTTATTAACGATCACCTCCGATTATGAAATACGGTCAAAGACGTTGTTGGTTTTTATTGCACGTTGTAACAAACCGAGAGTTCTTGAACTCGTTCGTGTGGTTTATGTATCGAATTATTTTTATAAAACGCTTTCATGCATACTAACAGCAATTTCTAGCGTGCTTTTTTACAAGTTGCTAGTCAATAAAAAAAAAGAAGAAATAGTTTTATATGCCCAAGATTTAGTACAATGGTATAAGGTATAAGGTCATTCCAAAAAAGAAGAAGTAGGTTGATTAGAAATCGCCAAATAATCTTAACGAAAATGGTGTCCAGGATAGCGTCGGTGCGAGACCGCGATCCGTCCAGCAAAAGCGACTATTTCTTCCACAGCCAGATCCGGAACGTCTACCAGAAGCCCAAGAGCTTCAAGACGGTCAGTTGGATCGTCTTCTTCCTCACCTTCGTGCTGGCCGTCATTTTGGCCATCGTGCTCAGGCAGAGAGTACGTTGGTTCCGTACCAACACGACGCACGTCACCCACTCGCCGGACATACTGGAACCCTTCAATCCCGAATGCACCGAACCCGGCGCAAAGGTAGACAGAAAAATGGATATCGAAGGAATCGATGACGAAGATGTGGTCGATGATAAAGATGTGGTCGATAAGAAAGATGTGGTCGAAGAGAAAGATAAGGTCGAAGAGGAAACGGAGTCGTTGATCGAAGATTATGAAGAGCCCGATAGAAATTAGATTTTTTATAGTTTATTAGCGGTATTATGTCAAATTAATTTTCCTATTATTGTCATTAAAGAAGTTTTGTATTGTGTTGTATGAATGTGACAATTTAACTCAATGTATAAACGGAACGTCTGATGAAGAAATTAGCAATACTACTGTAAGGTATGCAACACGTTTTACAACTGGCGTGCAAATGCTGGTGTGCGCGCTTTTATCGTTCTCAAGGTGCTATCAGTAGTCGTATTCAGGTACGTTTCTACCTGTAAACACCTTCCGACATAGGCGTACCGATACTTTCTGTACATTCCGCTTATTTATTGGCAAGTCTGATACATTTTGGTTTGATTTCGCAGAACATCGTCATCGGTATAACGGGCGGCATCGTGGCTTGTATAGGAGTAGTGTCGCCCAAACGACAAGAGGTCCTCCTGTATCTGGCCATCTCCATTCTCACCATGGGCATTGTGAACGTCGTCATCACGGAACACTGGTTCTACGTACACGATTTGTCGAAGATATTCAAGAAATACACCAATCACATGCTCATAGAATACGGTCAGTACAATCCTCTTCTCTTCAACGCTTCTTCTTATAACTTAGACCGCAAGGGAAAATCGTGGAAAAGTGTTCGTAATTGTCGCGCCGCTGGGCGAGCTCTCGCCGGTTTATACGCCGAGATGGACCAAACCTTTTCAGAACCGGCTATTCAATATACATTTAAAATATTTGTAAAGGTCACGCTAAGGCGAAACCGAAGGCCCCCAGGCCATCGGGTTGTCTCGTTACAGAACCGAAGTCGAGGGGATTAACTCCGTTGAAATAGTATACACTGAGTGTTACATTTTTCCACTATCGCCGATAGGAATTTATTAATCTTCTCGTCTATCTATAAGTGACTCGTAGAGTTTGTAACTCGACAGGATTTGTAAGTATGTAGGTACTTTTTTGTCTTCTGATTATTCCTAGTTTTGCTTATGGTTCTAAGGGTAGCTTTCTTACTAAATACCACCGAGTTTTAGTTAGAAATATAGCTAGGAGAATGGTGGTTTCTTTTTGTTTGGTACCCCGCCTGAACCCTAAGCAAAACGAAATCCACCCTCGAATACCTTACTCCAGGCGGTGCAGAATCCGTTCGAGTACCGCGCTGGGAGTCTCGCGCTGCTCCGCGCTCAGGTAGATAGATCAATCGTCGTTCGGATCCGACTCGGCGACCAGGGGACCCGTCGCTCGCCCGGTTTTTCGCGTTCGCCCGTCGCACAAAAAATCTCATCGCCGCTTTTCGCAGGTTGTTTCGCGACGAGAGTCGCCGCCGCCGTCGTGTTGGCGGTTTCCTTCCTGGACTGTCAGCTGGCTTTCTGTTCGATGCAGTTCGTTCCGAAGCCGAGGAGCAAGAAGCTCAGGGGCTCGCACGAGCAGCTGTCCGACATCGAGTACATCATACCTAGGGTGAGTCTATACCACGAATGTTTTTTTTCATTCGCCATCAGCGCCATTGTGTAGGGTAATTTTATTTACATGAATTATCAGTGAAATTTAGATAGGGTAGGGTAGTTAGATGAATTATCAGTGAGGTTTAGAAAGGGTAAAGGTACTTAGATGAATTATCAGTGAGGTTTAGAAATGGTAAGGGTAGTAAGATGAATTATAAGTCAGATTTAGATAGGGTAAGGGTACTTAAATGAATTATTTATCAGTGAGGTTTAGATCGGTTAGATGAATTGCCAGTAAGGTTTAAATAGGGTAAGGGTAGTTAGATGAATTATCAGGTTTAGATAGGGTGTGTTGGTTAAAGGAGCAACAGATTGTCCAAATTTGGACGGAGAGAATGTAAAAATAAATTAGCCGATCCTTTTGCATTAAATCGAATCGAAAACAATAACGATTATTAGCGTTGATTTAAATATTGCGTGGATGTACGAGGGTAGATTGAATTGTTTCCGGAATTAATTTTGATTTAGTTTTGCGACATTTAGGTTTCACTACTGTACAGGGGTGTATTTAAACGTTATCTACACGTGTAATGTTTTTAATTATTCCAATTTGTACGATATTTATGATAATATAGTTGTTTTTGAAATTTAAAATATTCACAATTACGTACACTAATTAGTTGGAAATAATTGCCAAATCTTACCCTGAAACTCTCTGTATTTTTACAAAACTATTACTTATGATTAACTTTTGAATCATTCCTGGTTAAATTCGAAATTGTTCATTACTTTTCATATTAGCAATGTATTTGAATTCTATTAAAAATTACAAATTCATTAAAATGAGTAACGATGAATTGTTATATTCTCTTAATCCTCCATTTTTTTGTTCTAGCGCAATTAATAGCGCGAGAATTGAATCGTCAGAATTTCGGAAAAATTCGAAAAAAATGTATTATTTTCAAGGTAAATCCGCGCGGCCGGTTTTCGACTATTTTTCCCATCGCGTCTCGAAAAATCCGACGAGTAGTGTCTAGATATTCCGAAAACATATTAGTAGCAATATTAATTAGCTCGGTGCCTCGTTACTTTTGAGATGTTGTGGTTTTCGATTGGTAAATGCTGCAAAAAGGCAAGTAATTAAATATCAATTATCTAACATAAGTATGTTAGTTGTCGGAATTTTTCTTGTTTTCTAAACGATTCCCCTAGCACTAAAATACACATGCAGGTAAACAATATACGGACTACTTAAATTATTTATTCTGTATAATGTTGTGTATTTAGGAGAAGATTGTGTTAGATTAATAAATAATCGAGATTTGTGGGTATGTTTACGTTAGCAACTCGGCTAAAATGAAATTAATATTTGTACACAATGTTCAGTAAACGATTTACGAAGTTTCGATTAATAATTGTTTTGAGTGCACTAATAGAAAAATATTATTCGCAGACGTTCCGAAAACTATTATCGATATGCGAATCATCCGTTTCTATTTTTCGAAGGAAGAATTCCCGCGGTGACGTCGCGTCCTCGAAACACCATCAGATTCGAAATATTTATTCAATTAAATATTAGAAAAAAATGCGCTCTGACTATTCCTTTGTGCAAATTTATGAATTTTCTTTTAGAAGCACATAAAAGTCTTATAGTGCGAGCTGTACTGATTTAGAATTAATAATTCCTTTAGTAATGGGTAATGTACAGAATGATAATTTGCTAGAAGTAAGTAGATTGTTTTCCTCGCTCAATTTTCTATAATCGTTGCTTTTTTTTAAGTGAGTTTTCGGATGATTTGTAAGAAAAAACTACGTTTGTTATTAACATTTTTATTATCATGACGACTACTAGATATTGGAATTTTTTCAACAAATACGTTTTCTTTTTCTAAACACGCTATTTTGTAACGAGATTATGACGTGCTACTTTTTACCACAGCGCGCATAATTACTGCTACTTCGATTTGCATTAATCGCTGGATAATTTCCCGCCATATCTGCGCCATATCTTCATACCGCAGATACTAAATTCGATTACATTTTTTTTACATCTCGCTAAATACACGTAGAGATTTTCTCAGATGTACTTACGTACTCCATTATGAAACGCCAGTTAAGTAATCGGGCGTAAAGTGGCACACGTCTTTCGTTGCGTATTGTATTAACTATTAATTCGAATAGTCTCTGCTAGTTGATCGACTGGAAACGTCGCGCTTTTTCTATCGAATTTTAGGCGAAATTTTTTTTTTTCTATTTCAGCCAAAGAACACCAAACCCGCCACGCATACCGTGTACGAGGCTTACGCTCAAAGTTGGGTCTTCGACTCCGACAACGCCGGCCCTTCGAACGGGACGCCTGGCAAAGCACCTTACTTCGATGTTGTACAAAACGGAACGCCCAAAAGGCAATCCAACAAATCCGCTAGTTTACAGAATGGAATGGTAAGATTCTTAATTTTTCTCTTCTTACTCAGCTACTATAGATTTTCTTGTAGGTAAGAGAAAACGGCCATATCATAGACAATCCAGTCGTGCGAATAGAAGAAGCTTCGGACGACAGCAACAGTAACAGCAACAGCGACAGGAAATTATGTTACATGAAGAGTTTCTCGCGCTCGCATTCGCCGGTCATCCTGTCGGCCAGCTCGTCGCAAATCAGCCTCAATTCCAACCACAACAAGAACCCGCTGATATACGAATGCCTCGAGAAGCTCACCGAGCCGACGATCTACCGTTCCAGATTGAACACGGCCGTCAGCAATAGAAGCGAATCGGAGGAGTCCTATCACGGCCAACCGGCGGTGATCATGCGACGGCCGGAGTCCACCAGCCCCACCGTCGAAACCGTACAATACGCCTCCCTAATGAAGGAGCTCCAAAACAAGATCGTCCACAAGAAGGATGCTAGTTCGAACGTCGCCTCGCCGCAGAGCAATACGAGCGACGCGCACAATTCGAAGGCCAGCAGTCGATCGGAGGGCAAGAGCAGCGACGCGGATTTCTCCAAAGAACTCGAAGCCGCTCTCCAATTGATACAGGATTTGGAGAGCCCGAATACGATCGAGACCCCGTCGGAGGCGAAGTCGTTGGACGGCCAGACCAGACAGCTGGCCGTTTGGAGGACGAGCGACGCCAGCGAGGGCAGCGAGAAAACCCTCAGCGCCGTCGGTTCCTTGGCCGAGATCGCGTCGCCGCTGGCGGAGTGCCCGCCCGAATTGGGCGCCTTCAAGCCGTCTGCGAACGGTAAGGGCGCCAAAGTTGTCGTTCATTACCCAGACTCCCAGAGCACCTCCGGCTATAGCTCCCCATCGCACGGACCTACTCCGAATTGGTCCACGACCTCCAGCATATCCGAAGGTAGCTCCGATAACAACAACAAACCGCCATTGTATTCCATTCATAACAATAACTCTTCGACGGTCATCTCGTTGTTTTACACACCCAATAACGCCAAAGGTAAATCGGTTTCGCTAGTCAAAATACCTGGCGATTTGGAGCCAGTTAACAGTACCAAAATCAAAATCGATCCGAACGGTCTGGATGGCGGCGATCTAGACGCCAACGTGCTAAACAGTCCGCTGATTACCGATTGCGGTGCCGGCAAAAACGACGATTTCATCGACGCTCAGTCCAAGGACAGGAAGTTCTCTTCCTTCAAACCCTCGCCCGTGCAAACCGGTTGGACATTAAATTCGCTGCTTCGCAAGAAAAAGCAAAACGCCCTACCGAAACTCGCTCCGGAACTGGAAGGGGCTATCATTAAATCGGAAAGCCTGGCTTACTTGTCGGAGACTGAATTGCTGGCCAGACACCAGCGAAACAAAGAAATGCAAAGGGTAAGAGATTTAAAGAAAAAGGGTCGTGTCAGGTGACGGGTCCGGTTTATATCAGGTGCTGGTCTACTAACCCACACGTATGTCTCGAAATAGCATATAAAAACTATCAAATTAATTCGACGAATTAAAACCATATGTACGTACAATTTACTACAAGAATCGGATTAATTTGAAAGAAACTAGTACATTTTTTTAGCTTCTTAAATATATTAGCAGTATGAAATATTTGCCTCCAATTTCGATTCGATAAAATCACCTTTTCTATTCTGCTTGGGTCAACCAAAAATGATCTTATATTTATTATTCAATAATCGAATGGTATCTTGTACTAACTAACCCCTGAATTCTTATCATAACACGAAGAATTTGCGTTATTTGTTTACTAATCCAAATTAAAACGATGAGGAATTATTACAGCACTTTCCGAGCATGGCACATTATCTTTTTAGTCCACACGCAACTTTAACGGTCACTCTAATAATAATTTCTCCCGTATTCGGAAGTTTTTTATAACCAATTGGTTTTGTAACAAACGATGTTTAAAATTCGGAAATATATAACAGTTGGTTACAAAACCGTTTGATAATAAAAAACTTCTGAATACGGGGGTTTATTTCGCAAATAAAAGCAGTAATTTATTCATAGTTTAACTCATAGAAATAACCATATTACAAACTGAAATGCACCATAGGAGATATCAGTTTTTTAAAATTTATGATTCTTTGAAAGTTGTAGAGAATCGTTTTTTCTATGCAATGATGAATTATTTTTGATGTAAGTTTGTAAAATACCTGGTAGACAATAAAATACTCTATCTCAAGGGCCTTAGGTTGAAGTCCGGCTCTGTTCGAACAAGTAAATTTTGTTATTGCTTTAATTTGCGAGAGATACATTTAATATTCGAGCTTAATTAGTTTCACGTTTATTTTATTTCTAGGCAATAGAGAAAAAAGTGGTGCAACAATTGGCAGTTCCAAGGACTGAATCCAACTGCTAGGAGTACGATAAAAACCAACGTGAAACAAAAACCGATGCACTTGGTAATTTAAAATATCCAGTGTTGCCAAATTGTAGAAATATGGTAGATTATGCGGTATAATTAATTTTGATTTAATGATTTGGTGACACTGTTTGTTAGTGATATGTGTGCGTCGGTTTTTGTTCGATTGTATAGAGTAGTTTATAATATTTTCGAACTCGAATTTCGAAATCTCATCCCGCTCCCCTATTCACCGATGCAATTAACTGTATTTCGTCCAATTTCCAGACTTATTTTATCGGTAATTTATATTTTTCCAAACCGTATTTGTACGATTATATGTTGTATAATATTGTTGTTATAGTTATATAGTTTATTATGATAGTTCTATTGTAAATATATTCGAATATACTTATTCTTTTTATAAATAAAATTATCCTCTTAACTTTCGAGTGTTATTATAATTCAATTAAAACAAATATTTTACTTTCTTTTGCTATATTAAAGTGTTTATATCAAAATTTGCGAAACAAGCAAATTCGTTTGCCAAGTTATTATTATGTTTGGGTTCGAATGAGCTCTTTTTTAAGTCCAGCAATCTACGAGCAAGATCTTCCATTATGACACCTACAAAATGAATTAAATAATAAAAAATTATGTGATTTATACAAAAATATTTACCCGTGCATAAGACTATTTTATTCTTGGTTAAAAACCTGATTGTCACAGCAGTTTTGGTGAGACATTCCTCAGAGAGAAAAGGAGGATCTGCTAACACTAGATCAAAATAACCGGCCTTGTCTTTTGGAACATTCAGCGGAGATTTGTAATCGTAAAATGTAAAATCTTCTCCTATCGTGGAGAATCGTTTGTCGAATTCAAACAGAGTTACTGAAAATTACGTGTATTAAAATGTTTGATTCATGATTAGAGTTGTACTTTCACGATCGGATCCAGCTTCTTCTCGAAGTTTCTTGTATAAACTAGGGCATGATATTAGGGCTATTTTCCCCTGAGGCCCGACGGATTTTACTGCTATTTTTACTAGTGTTTCGATCGTGTTATTGTTGTACCAAAATTGACTTAGTTGCTAAAACAATTCCAAAATTAACGCTTTATAATACGCGTAAAAATCAACTTACCCAGTCTTCAACAATCGCCACTTCTCCATTGTCTGAACTCGATTTCAACTGCTCTTCCCGTTCTTCTTGTTCTTTGTAAAATTCCTGCAAAACCGCAAAAGTTTCGGCTGATAATTGCGGAACATCATCGTCATCATCATCCCCATAATCTGACATTTTAAAACAGTTAACAGTAAGTAAGGTTATGTTTTCTGTCACATTTCATATTAGAAAAAAAAAGAAGATAAAATATGAAGTAATATAGGTGGTCTTTAACTTATTAGTACTGACAGTAAATTCTAATTATAGAAAACTAATTGATATTTGGGGTTTAGGTACGTGTTAATTATGCATATAGAATTTAATTATTATATAAAGCTTTTTTATAAAATATAAAAGTTAGGAAATTGGAATGAATAGCTGTTGTCACTTGTCACTCAGTCGATTACAATTTTTTTTCTAGGAAATAGAAGAAAGAGTTGGGTTAAGTAAGGTTTGTTTACAACTGTCAAATGAAGTAAACACAACAAAAATAAATATTTCTTAATTAATTTTTGTAGTTTTTTAAATGTATATCAAATCTATGATACAAGAAAATAATGGGTACGTATAATTTCTATTAATATTTCTGTTAATTCTTTCTGTTTAGTTAAGTTATTACACTTTTTCTTTACAATTCATTCAGCTCTAAAAGTTTTATGCGTAATTTGTAAATCTGCTCTATAAAATAAAATGTGTAACATCTTATTTTTGCATGCACTTCCTTACGACATAAACTATTAATAATAAACACACGTCAGATGACTCGCCATTAAACAGATATGCACAATAATAATTATTACTAAACCGATTTAGATATAATGTTTTCCATTGCGAAACTAAACGTAAAAATTTCGGACAATTTCGCATACAAACCAAGTTTATTTCAAACACATTTCTGATGCAATGTTGCTCATTAATCCCATAATAATTAATAACAAACCGGGTTTCGCCCATCCACTGATAACTTCTATAAGTATGTCGACACCGCTGCAGTCCATTTATATACCGAGTTGTTACCAAGAAGAGCAGTAAATTTAAAGCAGTAATAAATCAACAATCGCACCAAGAATTATTCGAGAGTACTCAATACATTTAATAATCCGATTTAGAGTGTTAATAATCATCGTTTGATATCAGATTATCGAGTAGTAAACAATGGCAGAAAGCAACTCGATCACCACCAGATCGCTGGGTACCGCTTCTGAGGGTATCAAAGACCAATACGCCGATGGCAAGGCGGCCAAAGTTTGGCAAATTTTCATAGGAGACAAGAAATCCCGGACCCAAAATTACAAGAACTTCTTGGTTGGATTGCTGAAACAGCGAGGCTGCAAGAGGATCCTCGATGTCGCCTGCGGAACCGGGTAAGCAAACCCCACAGATGTTGTATACAAGGGTAAGGTGAAAAGTTCTCAGCATGACAATGATAGACAGCGATTTTCAGTTGAAAAATTACATTATTCTTCTTATTAAGTCAAAATCTTTAGTTTGAGACAGTTCTGATTGATTCTGTAGCCTTCTAAGCGAGTGTTCTAAACAGTTCTGAAATATTCTTAACAGTCCTGAAACGTTCTAAATGGTTCTAGACAGTTTTAAATGATTTTAGAGCTTTCTAAATGGTTCTAGATAAATTTAAATGTTTCTAGAGCGTTCTCAGTGAATAGAAACAAAAATTTTAGCTGATTGGAGCGCTCTTAGTGTATCAGGCCGAGAACATTCAACTCTGCCCTCGTATTAACGTATATTCATTGAAATTAATCGATTGAAGCAGATAATATTTTGTTGATGACGTGGGTTTCGAAATTCCATAAAACAGTACAAAAATTGTGATAATCTAAATCTTTCGAAAGACCAAAACTAATTAATAACATGTAACTCGTTTATTTTTGTCTACAAAATGAATTTATTACAATAGGTTATTACACAATATATCTATTATTAACAAACATCTTGTTTTGATTGGCTCTTATCACTGGTAATTATTAAAAGAAGTGTTTTAAATAATGATTAATTAACGATGTTTCATCACAGGATAGATTCTATAATGCTGCTGGAGGAAGGCTTCGAGGTGGTTTCCGTGGACGCTTCCGATAAAATGTTGAAATACGCCTTAAAGGAGCGTTGGAATCGCCGGAAAGAAGCAGCATTCGATAAATGGAGTAAGATATGGCAATATCGAAAAAAATTGGCACTAAATAATGCGATAACTTTTTCAGTTATAGAAGAGGCTAATTGGGTTAATTTATATGATGACATTGAGGATGTAGTGGGTAATGGTTTCGACGCGGTTATTTGCCTGGGAAACTCCTTCGCTCATTTGCTGGATAACTTCGGGGATCAACGGGAACAAGTGTAATTAACTCACTTTGTTTTTATAAGTTGGGCTACAGGGCTACATTTTTTATCTAAAATTATAACACCCTGTAGCTCGAAAACTAAGAGGGTTAGGACATACATTGATATAAACTTTTCTTCTTAAAATCATCCAAATATTCACATCCTGAAGTAACGGCACTCAATTAATTAACACCCTGTAAATGTAGATTTTAACGTTATTTTTGGTTGTAGAAAAGCCTTAATGAATTTCGAAAAGTGCGTGAAACCTGGAGGTTTATTGCTAATTGATCACAGAAACTACGATGATATCATGGACACTGGAAGGACCGCTTCAAAATGCATTTATTATAATGTGAGTGATTGTATTAATTCGAAAATTGTGTTTATTAAACATTTAATGTTTTTTTTAATAGAGTCAACACACCACGGATATAAAGACATCAGTATTGTATGTAGGAGGGCGACCAGTTTTGGTTACTCTTGATTATTTAATCGACATTTCATCTGCTGATGATGAGAAAAGAGACTATATTAACGAAGATTCGATCAGGTAAATACATACACATAAATACATAAACTTTTCTTCTTAAAATCATCCAAATATTCACGTCCTAAAATTTAACGAATAATAATGTAAATTGTGTATTTTTTCAGCGAATTTCGTCTATCATACTACCCGCACAGGTTAAAAGTGTTCAAGGAAATGCTGAGGAAATCGTTCGGAGAGAACGCAGAATTCAAATTGTACGGCGATTTCAAGCCTTTGAACGAGATAGACGTGCCCGATTTCTACATACACGTAGTCGAAAAGAGTCGCACCGTGTTCTAATTTATTTTTTCCAATCGTATTTCGTTATTTAATAAACATAGTTTTATATATAGTTGGATATTTATTGAAAGAACAACTTATATTATCACTTCAATAACAACAATAATGACAACCGTCAGCAACGAACTCTGTCAGGGTTGACAATCCCACAACAATAAAATTACTAACTATTATTAACACAGTGCTAATCGTTTTCCTCGATAAAAGGTGAAACATTCCGGCCCGAGTAGACCGTTTAGGCAGTGAAGTAGGTTCGGGTTATTAACTGCATTACGCGATGCCGTCTAATAGGAATGCTCGAAAGGCGAAATGGTAATAACGCCCATTAGCGACAATTTGCGATTCATAAATCAGCCGGTACTGGTTTGGTAATTTTTTATTTTCGGTTAAAACGCGAGCACCTTACAATCTAGACTATCCGATAAATTACTAATAAATGCTAATGAGGCGCACGGAGAAGGGCGCTGCCATTGGACTCCACTCACTTCTACTCTATTCTACTCTACTTCCTTCTACTCTATTTACTTCTACTCTATTCCCTTCTACTCTACTCTCTTCTATTCTACTCCCTTATACTCTATTCAACTCTCTTCTGCTTTAATCTACTCTATAATGTAAATTGTTCATTGCACTGCTTTTAGAACAACGATCAAGTAATCAATATATTTCTACTCCCAATTTGCCTAATTTACACCGACGATAGGAATTCCCCATCAAAAAATAACAATATTTTAATGAGTACCCGAAAACTTGTGAATTGAATATTAAATGTTTTGTAGAGTACTGTAGGGAATACCTGCATGGGATTAACGCAATGAAATTAACCATTTGGTCTTCAATGCACATTCAATTATCGCTTTGTCGTAAATATAACACAACCATCGCATAGCATCGTCTGACGCAAATAGATTAAGTTGGAATTACGTCTCAATTAGCCGCTCCCGTTAATTAATCCAATTTCATGGTAGATGAATCCCAAGGAGTCCCCGTGCCGCACGCATTAATCTTCTTCTTTTTTTTCTCAATAACTACACATTAAACTAAACAAATCACGAACTACAGCAATAGTGGAAATACGAAATTGTTATACGGGGTGTCCCATCGCAACTACTATTAGTAACGCATAGTTTAGATAAGAGAGAGTTTAAGTATTTACGAAGATGGCAAATGACATAATTTTATCGACGAACGAATGATGGACGAGTGGAAAAAGAAACCGCACGGATGGTTGCGAATTTGTAATACTTAGCAATTCCAAATACGTGGTTTAAATACGAAACGTTATATATCGGTTGAAAACGCACGCACCGAGTTTTTTTTATTTATGACGGACGGTTGCGAAACACCTGTCTTACAGAAGGCCTTCGACGTAAGCAGATTTTGTGAAATGCGTGGAAAAATTCGCGGAATGTAATTAGGAAATTTCCCATTAAAACTTATTCTTCTAAATTAAAATACATATTAATTACAAAGCAAACCATTCGAAGACCAAATAGAAAGTCGATACCAATTGTGCAAACTTTTATAATAGTAAAAAATTAGTAGGTGTATTAATAACACCACTTAATGATGACCATAATCGTCCGCAACGACGGCCTTTTTCCATTGATCACACCAATTTACGATCGAAACCTATTAGGGCGCTATTATTAATAGAGACGAATCGACACATCGCCGATACACGCCGATGATCAGATTTTGTTTTGATAATGATCGGCATTGTAAAAGCCATTATAAATTACTATTTTGTGTAGCGGAAGCGTTTATAATCCGCTCGCAACGTTACATTGCTAAAAAACTTCCAAAGGAACGGTTCAACTCCACTGTACAAATCCAGCCAATTCTTAAACCACCATTCAATGCTGAACTACAGTTCGAAATAAGTAACTCGCTTTAGGTATCTAAAATAATACTCTGAGCAAATTCTAGCGAGTGTACTCTAGTGGAAACTCTTTGGTTGTTAACCCATCAGGTTCAAAAGTGCAATATGCGGTGGGATCACCCGATCTTTGTCGTTTGTTCCCTATACCAGTTAATGCAGGATCTATACCGAAATCAATTGTCGAAAGACCGACATTTATCCCACCTTAAGGAGGCATAAATCACAGAGAACAGCAGCACCATTGCTTAATTGGCCGCAGTACAATCTCGTCGAGATTAGTACCGCCGACCCGAAGATCGTGACTAGGATCTATCCGCAGATAATGCGGACGGATTAATATTAACACGGGTTTTTTACACGTGTCTCATCGAGTTTTCGTCCGGAAGAGTTTTCTCCCTATCCTCCGTCGCAAGTTCACGTGGACGAATCATCTCGCATTCTCCAGAGATAGAGCCCGAGAAATGTACACGCTTGATATAAAAGATTATGAGCTACAGTTACGTCGTTACATGTGGTTCGAAATGCGAACTTGAATTTTTATTGCCGCATTAAACGTTTTTCTGCGGCAATAATTTCATAGTTAATGGCGTCGAGTGTAGGTGGATAAACGCTACGTATTACGACTTTAGTTATTCAATAAACGACCAGCGGAACGGGATTAATAATACATACTGTAGATTAATTCCTTAAATATTAAAGTGGGCTTACTATAGTATATAGTTTTATGTCTTCGTATTGTTTTTTTGTAGGAGTATTGATGAACCTGCCGGTGCACGTGAGAGGAGTTTAGGTGTCTAATAATATTAAATGCCGGGCGTCTTGCGGCTTTGGGGCCGCTCCCATGCGCTCGGGTCGGGTCCGGAGGTCGGCGTTTTCAAACGGAGACCGAAACACGCGCGTCAACCGGAGCCCCGGCACGACGCGGCCGGATCACCCGCGGAGCGCGAGCGCATGATTTCGCGTTTCCGCGCGATTTCTTTATTAATTATCGGGCCCCGATGCGGACGGACGTTTCCGCGCCGCGGGACGCCTTCGGCGCGGATATTAACGCTGCCCTTTCGGTAATTTGTCGCTTCTCTCCAACTCGCTGTTCGTCCTCAAACGCAAGAGGCTCTCGACTTTTAAAAGAAGAAACTACAAACGCTGTACTCTACCGACTTTAAAAATAACTTAATAGTGACATTATTTGTGGTTAAATATAACGGATACGAATCGTCGGAGCGTAACCGGGCGACTCACGAACGCAAATCGTTACCGTTTCCTCGATAATTGTAAATATTCCGCATAAAAGACACGAAACAGAAGCGAGCTGACTCCGTTGTACACAAAACGACAACTCCAGATACAAATAACGTTCGGAGAGTAAGTCGGAAGTGCACTTCAAACGACATTTCTACCGGATTTTTTCCTTACCATCGGTTGTAGTAGTACGAGAGGTTATCAAATACTACCAACTGCATCTAACATTAATAACTAAATTGTGGTTGGTAACACTGCGTTTAACACGCGTGCTAATGTCAATTATTTACATATTGCCAACTTAGTTAATACTACAATTATTAGCTCAATAAGTTGGTTTTTATGTAAGTATCTATGCTACTACACCCGTCACGTTCTTGATGATTTCATTTTACATGGTATTGTAACGCAAGTTGTAAATCTGGACGCATGATGGACGACTTAGGGCTGGATATGGAGGCAACGTATTCGCTCGACTTTGATGTGATATAGAGCACGTTCGTTTTAGTTTTCGAATGAGTCACCAGAACGTGTACTTACCCTACCCAGGAATCGTCGTTTCGTCCGCATTTTCAACTACTTAGCTAGGCGTATTTAAGGTTGTTAGGAGAAATTGCGATTTGCGAAAAAACCATCGGGACGAGTTATCGATCATCATAAATCAAAGATACATATCTGCGGATAATCGCCGAATTTTAAAGTTACAAGATAAGAATCTCCTGATGATGTTCCAAGTGGAGCACCAATAACGTATTCCATGTTGTATCTTAACTGGCTTAATGATTGATGTCGTAAAGTGGACATACAAGGTGGACATTTTATTAGAATACATTGTGGGGTAGATTATAACAATTTTGAAGGTTATTAGGAATCTTTTAGATGCTGTATTAATAAGAAGAAAAAGTATAATACAAGTAGGTTAAAAATATACAATTAGAACATATTTAGAATGCTAACTTCCCTTTTTTATCTATTATACTTATACATATTATAGTAAATTGATAATTTTCGTTGGTATTTGGGTGACCACCTTGTAGTATACTTAACTTTCTGAAAAGTTTTTGCTACTTTTATAAATAATGTAAACCGTACGGCTACAAATCGTCGGACGGGTATTTCTCAATATGCCATCGGAATTGACCATTCCAGTCCGCTTTTTATGTTCGCATGTTATGTATCGCTCTCATGAGAAATGAACCTGTTACATGAAAAATTCGAGTAAAAAATTATTCGGCCGTTTCGACGAGAATTAAGTAATGAGCGCCCGTAATAAACTCCCAGCGCAAAAATCAATAGTTAACTTTTCGCTTTTTAATATCTCATTCGTTGACGAACGCCCGGAAAAAAATGCACCGTTGTCCATTAAAACGGCCGACGGTTTTTATTAAACCGGCTATAAAAATTTTGAAATATTTATCAGCGCTTTCTCGAAAGCGTAAAATTTGCTCCAATAATCCTTTAAACGCGCCACAATGACATTCGACATTTTTCGAACGCCCACGCCTCGAGTGGGGTACTGTATGGAAAATCTTGTAAGCGGTTTTTATGGGCTACATAAATTTCCTGTCACACGCCAAAACCAAATTCGCATTCCGACGAAATGATCGCTCGATAGGCAATGGACGATATGCGGGAGAGGATGCGAAAGGTCGAAATTATATTGAGCAAAAACCGTAAATGAAGATGTAACCAACGAAAGGTTAACTAACCAACCGCCCATAAACCCGTACACCCAACGGTTTTTAGTAATTATAAATCTATTTGAGGGATCCTGAGGCGCGATTAAGGCCCCTTGAAATAATCCTTTTATGAGCATTAATACCATTCTAATCTAAATCCATTAACTAAACTATTTATTGATGCAATTATAGACAAATACTGCAACTTAAATTTGTATATAATTCAACGTAAATATTACTACATATAATATTTTAATCGATCAATAGGCCTTAATAAACCACATGTTCGCAAGCGGAAGGACTGAAGGAACGCGGTAGACCAATAATTTTTAATTTAATTTTTTCTTATTTAATTTACGAGTTAATGGTTATATTGGGTGCTTAATTACGCCGGTACACCCTCGGGAGCGCGTCTATTGTACCACCCACTCACGTTTAATCTCGGCGATTTGCGTCGTTTTTGATTCAAATTAATCGCGTTAGCGATCTTAAATCGCAATCAGTAGAAATGGGAAGTAAATTGGCGTAATAAACGTTAGGGAATTTGAATTTATCTAATTACTATTAGCGAAATTGCGGTAAACAAACACATAAATTACTCATAATGTGTAGCAAACTTTCGTTTAAAAAGTATAGTTACATTGAAAAATTATAACCGCTCGATAAGATAATTACATTAGTTCGTTTAATCGTTACACATTTGTACAAAAAGTTTCCACTTAATGCATAAAGTAGTGTTTGTAAAACCGAATTTGTTCTAATGACCAGCTCCAATAGTTCCCTGAAAATACGAATTAGTTAGTTCATTGACTATTTTCGAGAATTTTCGAGCAATTAAAAAATTTAAATTGCGCTGATAATAACGACAAGAGCGATCGTTAGACATCCCCAAACGACAATACGTCTTGTTCAGCGTCAATGATGTCATCTTTAATTGGATACCAACTCTTTTGTATACGAGCTTGTATCAGTTCCGAATGAACACGGAGCTAATTTATCGAACGGACACCTTTACGAAAGTACCATCGTACGCACCTTAACATCCCTTCGAATTTAACCTCGAAATTCTGCACTGGTTTAGTTCAACAAATCCGAGTCAATTACACCAATTTATGTAAACCCCGAGCGCAAATACAATAAATTACCTTTCGACACAGACGTGTAATAAACACACCAATTGGATTTGCCTTGTGTCAATATTTATTTTGCTTTGGATTGCCAAGATCACTGCAGGATTCCCTAATTTCGAGTTTTATCTTCAAAGATACCACAAGTGCTTTACGTTTACTTCGAAAAAATTTGGTAAATTAATTATTTAATAATTCATAATGGAAAAATAATTGGTGATTCTTGGATAATATCGGGATAATTTTCATGTAAAAGACTTTCTACTTCTATTGAGTGTTCGTGTTAATTACGTGAGAGTACAGTGAGAGTAATTAATATTAAAATGGGCGTTGGAAAAGGGAATTGAATTATCAATGCGTGCGGCACGCCTATGAGTTAAAACGCGTTTTAAACAATTAACTTTCGACACCCGTCAAGTATAATGACTTTTTAAAGTTTCATTATTTCGTGTCGAAAGTCCATTCCGATTTGTTTAATTCATCGAATTCCAATCGGTCCCGAATAGATTTACGAGGGGATCTAATGTCTATTAAAGGCGGACGTGAAATTTACGTTTACTGCTTTTTAATTAATTTCCCTTCGATTGTACGTTTTAAATTTATTTTTTACGATTGTTTTGATTTTACTGAACGGAAAAACGAAGTAAATTAATGCATATAATTACACAACTCTAATGGGTTATTAAATATTCGATTATAATGGTGTTTAACAAGTTAATCAGGAAAAGGGTAATTTTGTCTAGACTCTTTATAGACAGCTGTTTATTACTTTTACCTGCAATAATATTAGAGAAAGTAAATCTTTAAGTGTAAAGGGGTGTTGTGGAACTCAACTTGCAATATGTAAGTTTATAACCGTTTAATTAAGTAATTAAAAAGATTTTTGTAGAATTTTTTGTGGAATCGTGACTAAACTTAAATATTGCGCTAAATTTTTCGTAGTACGCAAATAAATATTCGATTAACGAAAAGAGTGATTCGTAATGAAAAATTTCACACGGTTTTCACCGAAGACGAAAACGCGGCAATTATACAATCACGCCGCATTCCTTTTCAACATAAAGTAGTAATCAACAAAATAACCACGTCAGAATCGATCATGATATATCCATTGTCTTCCTCTCGGTTTTTTTCTTGTACTTGTCGATTGTCGAAAAAGAAAGCTCGTTAGCCTATCGAACGAGCGCGGTCTCGAATACTTACGGATAATCGTAATTAAAATTAAAAAACACCCTATTGTTTGGAATTCTCGCTTCTCATTAATGCGATTGATAAATTGCTCTCGAAGATGAAGATGATGGCGATGATAAAGACGCCTCTCTTTTATCCCAACAATCACCGATTGATTTATGAATTGCGGCTAATATTTTTCCGAAAATTAAAAACCAACAAAAAGGTGTCGTTAAAACAAAAGTTTAGTTAAAAATTGCTCAATTCAAACTAATTTAGTGTAACAAATTGTATTATTACACGCAATTAAAGTTTATCAGTTGTTTTTGTTGTACACTCACGTCGAATTACCATTAAATTGCAAATTGAATTTCCAGTTCTTTTTTTGATATCGCGAAAATTTCGTGGCGATGCCATAACAAAACCATTAAACCGAATTTACGACGTTTTGTGTTAATATCTGGAAGATAATTAAACACCGATTTTAATCCGTTTTTAAACCAACGCTACAAAATAACATAACGAAGCTCGAGGCGACTCTAGTTACTTAAATCGAGTGCGAAAAGCCCGCACTTTCCACCACATCATGTCTGATTCCATGAAGCGATTATCGAAGAAAATATGACAAGTTTTTAAACACAGCGAACATATAAATTCAAAAAGTGCGATAACTCGTATCCATTGTTTATGTTTTCTTATAATTTAGTACTTAGTTGTGTGTCTCACCGGTACGACACACAGGTTGAAAAATCGCAATACTGTATGTGACAGCGATAAATATAAACAGCGATTATAGATAATTGCCTGTACAACTATCGATCGAGTAGTGCATTTTTCGGATCGATAAGAAAGGATTTTAATTTTCTAATTGTTACCCAACGTACTTTACATACTTTTATGGTTGAAGTCGAATTTAGAAGAGTTTTTGTTAACAGTTTTCTCGGGAGATAGAAGAAAAATGCCGTAAGTGGGCGATCAAATTTAAAATCAAAGGAGAACCATAAAGGTGAGTTTTCGATGAAATACAATTTCTACGTGTACCTAATGTCAATCGCGATTTCAGATTGCGAAGTAACTTTTAAATCATGGATAAAAGTTTAGATATAAAAAATCACACATCCTATTGTAATTACGGTAAGTGATTTTTAATTTGTACTTACTATTTTAAAGGCGAATTTATTATTGCAGGTTTCGATACCAAAGATGAGTTAGATATTGAAAGCAGTAATCCGAAGAAATCGTTGAAGATAGTGGAACAGGAAAATTTGTTGAAAAAAGAAAAATGGTACAGCATTCTAACTCAAGTGAGCGTTCCGTTTTTCCTTGCAGGAATCGGAACTATAGCTGCAGGAACAATTTTAGCCACTGTTACAGTAAGTCCATTTCTTCTTCTTATGAAAAATTTACTTGTTTTGTGATACTATGTCAATATTTTCTGTGCAACTGGATTTTAAAATCATTCAGTTCACTGTTATTTCAGAAGAAATAGTTACTAAAATAACTGTTTCATAATTAGCAATAATTGGTTATTAATTAGTTAAAAATATTTAATATAGGCATAAATTATTAGAAAACCAATTTCATCGCCCATATTTCATTAAGAATATGAAAATATACTTTGGTGTACAACCCGTATAAAAAAATAATAAGTAGGTACAATTGATCTTATTACAACGTGTGACAACGTTCGTTTGTAAATATAATCAAAATAATTATATAAATTCGCATAAAATTTAACAGTGATAATTTTTCCCAATTACCGAAATTACACAAAATTGATCATTATTTCAACTCAAATAACAATTGGAATAAATAACACTCTATTAATTCCGTATAACAATAGAATTGACTCCAAGGAATAAAATTATAACTCGTATAAAAATCGTCATGAAAATACAATTTTTTATGGTTCGTGTAGGATCACAATAGAAAATGATTTTTTTTATAAATATTTAATAATCCCGCATCGAAATTAATAATTATCTTACTGGAAAATCGCGATAATGAATTTCATCGATTATTATTTTCGTCTTAACGACATATTGCGCGCATTATGTTGGAAAAAAAACTTTCCTTCAACACTAAAATGTAAAATTCAAAGCGCACGAAGCCAATTTGCGCTGTACACGAAGCGCTCGCGTAATTTAATGGCCACGAATTTTTGTATTAATATATCAAAGTACGGAGGATTAATAATAATGAAAGATATCTCAATTACGAGCATGTTTGTTTATATATTATATCAGCTTTAGAATGTTTTTCTAATGTAATTTCCAATTTTCCACGTTGCGCAATATTGTTATAATTGTCTATTAAAGCGATTATTTTTTCCGATTGTCTATTTATGAATTAGGTACTAAATTGAATTACATATAAATGTATATTATTCACCGCAATGCTGATAGAATTATCGATTGAGCTTAATCAGCAATTAGTAGGTAATTCGCGCGTTAACATAATTTACCCATTTAAGTATAATTTTCCTTAAAATCGGGAATTATCTAACCACAAATCCTTTATTCCGACGCTTTATTTATTACTAAAAATTATGTAGTTATCATTTCAAACGAACCGTATAACAATTACCGTCTAGTTTTTATTAGTTACTTAGAACTTAATCGGATTGCAAATACGCATTTCTTATCAGATTACAAAAAAATTCAGACAACATTTATTTAACTCTTTATGGCTTGTAAATGTATTTACCAATACAACAAGGTACTTTTTGATTATTGACATTCATTCGAGCTTACTAACAATGCTTTATTCGTTTTCAGAAATACGAAGTTTTCGATAATATTCGAGCTTTGTACGTTTTGGTGCCAGCTTTGCTGGGTCTTAAAGGCAACTTGGATATGTGCTTGTCTTCGAGACTTTCAACGCAAGCTAATTTAGGCAATATGAACGATAAAAAGGAATTAGCGAAAATGGTAATAGGGAACATAGTATTAGTACAGGTATTCTTTCCACATCTCACTATCCACCGTTCTTACTCTAATTAAGATTAATTTAAGATCCAAGCGATCGTAGCCTCTTGTATCGTATCAGTATTTGCGACTGCTGTGTCAGCAGGAATAAACGGAAACTTCCAATGGATCCACACGCTTTTACTAGCCACTGCTAGTATGTTAACAGCGACATTGTCCTGTTTTATTTTAGGTAAGTGCCCTAATTATTCAGCTAAACATATCGAACGAGTGGTAATTTTTTTAGATATAGTGCTAGTGACTGTGATAATTACCTCGCATAAATTGAAGCTGAATCCTGATAATTTAGCTACTCCTTTGGCCGCTAGCATCGGAGATTTAGTATCTCTGATTGTTTTATCTTCGTGGGCGAGATTGTTGTATGATATTCATGGTAAAGTATAATTGTATGCACTAACGTAATGATACTTAGGTAAGGGATTGTTTCAGATGAATACCCGTGGTTGATGGGAATAATACTTTCGTTTTACATTCTTGGACTACTACCGTTGTGGGTATACATAGTTAATAGGAATGTTTATACTTGTAAAGTGTTAAGCCAGGGGTGGACTCCGGTCATTTGCGCTTTAATGATTAGCGGGTATGTTTAGATTGAATTATTGATAACGGTGAATTTATTGTAAATTTCTAACACAGCACAGGTGGATTGATATTAGACATGGGAGTGGACAAATTCAACGGGTACACCATTTTCCAACCTATAATTAACGGTATAGGCGGTAATTTGGTATCCGTCCAAGTGAGCAGGACCTCCACCATGCTACACAAGACCTCCATATTCGGGCAAATACCTTCCCTTTCCAAACAATGGGTTTGCCCTTGCACAGCTTTAATCAAAGGAGGTACAATACGAATCCACCTACGTTACTTAACAAAATTAAATTCGAAATAATTTCCAGTTTATCCAGCTAAAACAGCTCGTCTTCTCCTGCTACTGTCGATACCCGGCCACACTATCTTCGTTTTCGCCGCTGATTTCTTCTACAACGGCGTGTCTACAGTAACGCCGGTTTTCGTCGCTGTTTACCTGCTAGTTGGCCTCGTCCAGTTGGTATTCCTGTTGTACGGCAGCCACATTTTGGTCCACACTATGTGGAGGTACAAGAACGATCCGGACAACTCGGCTATTCCCTATTTGACGGCCCTGGGCGATTTGAGCGGATCCGGCCTGCTGTTGCTTGGATTCATCTTCTTAAGGCAAATAAATTGGGAGTATACTCCAGTCAGATGATTCTCTTCTCAGTGGATTGTACAATATGCAGGTTGATTTGTACGAAAACCACTTCACCGTAGTTGACTCATTATAGTTTAATTAAGAAGTCTTGTAAATATCGCGAAAATATTAAATTTTATTTTCTTAATAAAGCCGACCGAATTCAGCGAATTATCTTTCAATTGCCTGCCAACCGAGCGCTGCTAAATGAAATCTCATCAGCATCGGCTTTCGCCGTTTTTATCTGCGGCGTGTTCCGAAACATCGCATCATCGATATTTAATTAATGGCGCATCGCCCGAACCCGAGGAAATTACGATTGGGAATGTGACCGGGAGGGTCAAAATGATTAAAGTAATTCCACCTTACACTATATTATAGGCGATTTATTGGGTTTTGTTTGGAGTTGGTAATGAGACATGCGGCTAGTTTAAATTAAATTCATATTTATATTGAATACCGATTTCCCGTTAGACGTCTATCGAGTACCCGGATAAGCACCAGTAGCGTCCTCTTTATCAATACTACAGATTAATTGGTTCTCTCCACCAGCAAAACCTACTTGTAGGAGAATTTATGTGGTGGTGTGGATATGAAATTTTTTGATATCGGCTGGTATTGAGGTGATGAAAATTCTTCATTATACGGACTCCATCTTGGGGACTTTATCATGAAGACTTCATCACGAAGACTTCATCACGAAGACTTCATCTTGGGAACTTCCTCACGGGGACTATTTGATTTATTAACAGTCATCACATTTTTTTGCAACAAGAAAATTAATTTCAATGGCTCGTTATTGATAAAAAAAAACTGGAAAACTCCGCCTCTGGAAACCGTCACTTTAATTAGAGAGCAACTATTTCGCGGATTTGATAAAAATGAGCAACATCTGCAAGATCAAAGGTGAGTTTCGTGAACTCATAAGCATTTTTGCGGCGGTCTTTTTTACCGATGACGAATAAAATGACACGCCTTCCGGGTTCTTGTGTACGTGCAATTTACGGCGTTTTTCCCGTAAATTCCCTCGAATGATACGCACGTAAAATCGATTTCGATTTAGATTAGTTACGTACGAGGCTTCTTCGATATCTTCGCGTTAATTAGCATCATCTCCGACGACAAATTTGCTCTAAATATTCGCTGGAACATTTGTTGACCTGTGACCGATTTGGTTGGAGGCAAATCGGGCATTGGACGCTAATGTAAAAAAGGGCAGATTGAAAGATTCCGGTTCGTTAAAGGAGCCCATCGACGTGTCACGATTTGAGTTGGTAGATGGAGGAGATACCGATGGAAGTGTAACGACAATGTAACTCACCAATAACAACGAAATTGTATAAATACGCGTTGCGTTCCTGCATGATCTCTTGACCTGGAACGTTCCGAGGACGGGCGCTCATTGTCGGTGGTAAGATTTAGTTCTTTTGAATGGGTCGTTTAGGCTACGCTACTGTCGGAAAATCAGATACAATCGAACAATAGGTCGTTTTGTTTTCGACTGCTTTTCGGCTCCTCGGGTTTTGCGCTTGTAGTTTTTTCGGGCCGGTCGTAATTCGGTCGGGTAATTGTGTGGATTTTTCGAGCGTGTTTACCTCTCGGCGGGGTAATTAATTAGGCGAACGGGCGCGTTAGTTTGAAGGATCCTCGCGAATATCGAGCGCTCGAAAACGGACATGGGACACGTCGATTTCGACTGGACGCTGTTTACATTTCACACATTCCGGGTGTCACTCGACTGTGGGAAATATTTGTTAGAGTAAATTACCAATAATAAAAGATAAGTGCATGAGCAAACACTCTTTTAACCGTCTTTTGGAATGAGGTGTTGGCCGAACACTCGAAAAGGCGCAGTCCATTTATTGCCCGGTTTAATATCAGCATTGATTGGGTCAGTTAGGTTTTTTTCTCATGTCGATTTTAACCGTTAAAGATTACTATAAAAAAATAAACTTTGTTGTTTTTTAAAGCACATTTCTTTTATTTCAACGGTATCTAATTATTCGACCTAAATTACACAATAATCACTCAGTATTTCCCCTAAAAATCGTGCTAAATCAAAAGGAAGTAAATTAATCACAACAATAAAATAAAACCTAGATTAATACGATTCTCGAAACGTAAACTTGCAACAATATTGCGCAGTTGTAATACAAACATATCGGATGTTAATCTTAATATGCCTTTATATAAAACATCAAACTGATAGATATTACAAAAAAATCCATCGAAGGATGTTTAAAATTCGCCGTTGTAAAATATTGCCGATTAAAAGCCGGGGTAATAAATTTCGAAGAAGACCCCCATCTCCGTTGCGGTTACTTGCAAGCGCGTTTTAACAGTTATTTCACAATTTATAAGTTTATTTTTCGAAATGGGATCCGATATAAGGCGGGGAGTCTCGTTTATTGTCATTTTTTTTACTTATACTCCTTGTAATTCTATATTTATTACATCCCTGTAATTAGTACAGCTAAGTATATTATTTTCATTAGAAATTTGAGAAAATTAGGAAAAAATGTTTATTGGATGTTGCTGGATATTGCCCGATTGACTGTACTATACACCGGTCCTATTAATTTTATTATTAATGGAGGCACGCTTTTTATTGCGGTTTTATTGTAATGCGATGCCTCGTATTTTCAATTCCCGCAATAATACATATATTTTGGAGCTTTGTAAAAGTAATTAGGTAACGAGCGACTAGCCGTTAATTTTCGAAATTTATGTTAGTTGATAAATCGGGCGTATAATAAGGACACCATTGAATTATTGCATTCGAATAATTCGATTAAAGTAATTAGTTACAAAACTTTTTTTAATTGGTGTGTCCTACCATTTCGAGTCCGTAAAACCCCGGGACGTCCGTTGACCCATTAGTCAAGGACGATTTATGTATAATTTATTAAAGGAGCGTTGCTTAATTAAGGGAAATTTATACTTTCGACCAACATTAATGCACAAGCTTCGTTTTTAATCTATATTTAACAAAAATGATTACGATATCGAGCATTTTTTGTAAATAAAATTTCGAGATTCACAAATTTACATAAGATTTTAACATATTTTGGGATCAATGTCGGGATTATTTTAATAGCTTATCACGCAAATATTACCAACTTGAATTACACTCAACTGATAATAGTAATTCATATTATAAATAAACAGAATATTTTATTATGAACTAATCTATTAACAAGATGACAACTTCACTGCCTTCTATACTAACGGCATCTGTATTATTAATAATTAGTGTTAATTGTATTGAAACTAACAATTTAGTAGCTCTAGTACAGGTAAGTTTATTTCTTAATAATTAATTGTAAGAACAATAAACTTATACACAATGGAAAATTTAATTTTATCTTTTGCAGATATTCCGACATGGCGAAAGAACACCGATGAAATTTTACCCTAACGACCCTTACAAAAATCACTGGGCTGATCTCAACACCGAACAACTAACCAACGTAAAGTACTACCAACAATTCGCTCTAAATGTACAAAATTCTCATTACAGAAAGGTCGTAGACAAATGTACTCGTTAGGCCAACACACCAGAAACAGATACTCCTCTTGGATCCCTTTAAAGTACCAAAATAAATTCATCCGCGCTAGTTCAACGGACGTGGACAGAACTCTAGTATCTGGTCAAACGTTCCTCTACGGGCTGTTCCCGGCCAGCGGGGATCAGAAATGGCTTCCCACCAGCGATTGGCAGGGCATTCCCCTGCATCCTGCGGATCCGAAGGTGCTGTTTGTGTCTCCTGCGAATTGCCCTACGTACGAAAAGTCCTACGCGAAACTCCTGGCCGGGAAGGAGTTTGTGAAATTAAACGAATCGTTGCAGGGATTGTATGAGTATCTAACGAATAACACAGGTGAAACTATTGATGATCTGCACAGTGCTGAAACAATTTGTGATACTCTCGGAATCGAAGAAGGAGTCGGGCTCAAGCTGCCCGAATGGACGAAAAAAGTGTACCCCGAGCAGCTTAAAAAAGTTTATAAATATTGGCTGAAATCTTTAACGTACACCAAGGAACTTAAGAGATTTTGTAAGCAAAGTAACCCGCTTCTAGTTTAGCTAATTAACGTGTTAACAATTTCAGATGTTGGATCTTTGTTTAACGAAATGCTGGAGTTTTTCGATGAAATTGCGACAAATTCCACCGATACGAAGATGAGAGTGTACAGCGGACATGATGATAACATCGCTTCGATTTTGAACAGTTTCGGAGCGCTCGATCAGCTGGATATTCCAGGTTTCGGAAGCTCTCTGTGGTTGGAATTGAGAAAAAACGATGGAAACCACTTTGTAAATGTTTGGTACAAAAACGGCGATAATACCACGCAAATTCGAATCGAGGGTTGTGAATTAGATTGCCCTTTGAAGAATATGAAATCGCTTCTGCATGATATTGTCATTGATGTTGAAAATTGGACCAAAGAGTGTAATTATGATAAAAGATAATTGTAATTTTTTTTGTAATTATTGTATTAAATTAAAAAATATATATTGTACGCTTCCTTATTTTCGAATTATGTTTTACAAAGAAATACAAACAAGATTATAGAAAGTGTAGTGAAATGGTATGGAAATTTTATCAACCACGAGTGGGTAATTCATCAATCTAATCGTCTGCGATTAAAAAAAAATGAGGAGCGATTAATTTTTTTTCAATACGATAATTATTTGTTGATTTAAAATAAACTCGGATAATATTGAGTAAAATTTGTTAATGTTCAAAATGTATAGCGGTAGTGTTTTCGTTTTACTCTGTTTTCCTGTTATTATTTCGTACGTGACGTGCAGCGATGAACTGATCGCTTTAATTCACGTAAGTAATATTTGGATGTTTCAAAACCAATTCAAGTGCTTTCTCAATATACACCAAATAGCTCAAAAAAATTAAAATAAGTAGGTACTTTGATAGTAGGTACATATATTTCAGGTGTTCCGTCATGGACAAAGAAGCCCTGCTAATTCTTACAAAAGCGATCCATACAAAAACCACTGGGAGAATTTAGGTCCTAATCAATTGACGATAGTGAGCAACTCCAATTTCCTCAATCCAACACTCTTCTTCAACGTTTCATATTTTAGGAAGGCCGCCGTCAAATGTACAAACTAGGCCAGGACACGAGAACAAGATACTCCGATTTTATACCGAAAAACTACAGCGTAAACATCATCAACATACAAAGCACCGATACAGACAGAACACAAATGTCAGCGCAATGTTACCTATACGGATTGTTCCCAGCTAGCGGCGATGCTGTGTGGTTGAAGAACGTCGATTGGCAACCGATTTCAGTCCATCCCGTCGATAATTCGATCATTTACAACGATAATACCAACTGCCCTACCTTTGCTTACTTATATTCATTCGTCATAACTAATCCCAGGTACTCCAGAGTTAACCAGCAGTACAAAGCCATGTACAAGTACATAAGCGATAACACCGGTGAGAGCGTTTCGGATATGGCAAGCGCCTATTCCATCCACGATATTCTGACGACGGAAAGTCAGGCTGGGTTGGAATTGCCAGAATGGACGAAGAAATATTTTCCGGAACCGCTGGGTACCGCAGCAGGATACCTTCTACAATCGCTTACATTTACTTTAGACCTTAAGGGCCTCTGTAAGGTAATGATTTTTTTGCACAAACCTCCTATCTTACTGATCATTTTCTCCAGATATTGGACCATTCCTAAATACTATAGTGAATTATTTCGATGCCATGAATGTAAACGGCACGTCCTCGCCCAAGATTCAAGCTTATTCCATTCACGAAAGTAACCTGGGTTCCATATTAAACGTCTTTGGTTGCTTCGATCCTCCGCATGTTCCGGAATTTACTTCTAGTATATGGATAGAATTGAAGAAGAACAGCACGATGGATTATGTGAATGTTTGGTATAAAAATGGAGCCAATTTAACCAAACTCAGTGTGAATGGATGCGATTTGAATTGCCCGTATGCACAGTTCAAACAGAACATCAGGGATTATATCATCGACAGTGATAAGTGGTCTGAATATTGTGGTTATAATTAACTTGAATTAAATTGTGGAATTGGTGTTAAATAAATGTTTATTATCGTTAGTTCTTTTGATGTTTGATTACACATTGACTGAATATTTTAGAAGATATTGTTTATTTGGATATTGCATCGGTATTTCGATTGTAAATTCTTATGCTTCTGTGAAATGAACTTTCAACAATGCGAGCGATAATTTTTATCATATGTGTATTCAAATATTTGAATACTTTTTATTTCTTCAGTTATCGATTATTCGGATTGGAAAAACATTTTTCTCGGCGATGATGTCGAAATAAAACCATAAAATCGTTAGATATTTTTTCGATATTATCCATAAAAAACCATAAATAAAAAAATAAGGATTAACGGTTTTTTATGTATGGAAATATTTCGCGGCAATATTTCCGTAATCTGGTATATAAATCAATAAACGAAAGACAGTCTCATTTCGAAGATGTTGACGTTCAAAATAGCTTTACTGGCGTTTGCTGCAGCAACTGTCGACGCCGGGAATGAAAATTTAATAGCCGTTGTTCAGGTAAAATTAGTAAGAACTTGGTAAAGTTTCTCATTCGACAAATATTCCAGATCTACAGACATGGTCAAAGAACGCCCGTCATGTTCTACAACTCCGACCCTTACGCAGACCTTAACATCTATTGGGCAGGATTAGATCTTGGACAATTAACGAATGTAAGTAGATCGTGAATTTTAGACCGTTATTTATAATGAAAAAATACTAAATAGGAAGGAAAACGCCAACACTATGCATTGGGCCAATTCACCAGGAATCGATACAGTGATTGGCTGCCGAAGGTTTACAATAAAGCTGATATATACGTCCAATCGACTGATGTAGATAGAACTCACATGTCAGCTCAAGCCAATGTATACGGCCTCTATCCAGCGACTGGATCGCAAGTCTGGCGAAAGTACGTCAATTGGCAACCCATCCCTATCCACCCATCCGATCCTAGAGTCGTTACTAGTTCAAACTCATGTCCAGCATATTACGAGTTGTACGCCAAATTAGCCAACGAAGAGGAATTCATTAATTTAGATAAACAGTATTCGAGTTTGTACCAATACGTGTCCGAAAAAACTGGCCTGAATGTTACTACTTTTTCTGATTTAATTCAATTCTATGACGCTCTACATATTGAAGAGCAAGTAGGATATTCCCTTCCGTCTTGGACGTCCTCGTTTTATCCAGAACCACTCTCCACGTTAGCTGCTAAAACTTACCAATCGTTGAGCTACAACACGCCAATGAAGAGACTAAGTAAGTTATTAACCTGTTGCTATTCCCTTCATAAAATTCGTGTTTTTTACATCAGCTACTGGAGTACTCTTGAACGAAATCATCCAGTACTTCGAATTGATGGCTACCAACCCGACTGCTAAACCGAAATACCAAATGTACAGTTGCCACGACACCAACGTTTTCCCCATATTGAACAGTATAGGTCAAACGCCAACCAAGCCTCTGCCCTTCGCTGTGTCGCTTTGGTTCGAATTGAGGCTGGTTAATTCCGAACCTACAGTTCAGTTGTGGATGAAGAGCGACGGGGATTTCTCCAGGCTGAGCATCAACGGTTGCTCTTTGGATTGCCCGCTCAGCGAGGTGAAGGCCTATTGGAAGGAGCTTTTACTCGATGTCGATGGATTGGATAAAGAATGCGCTGTTTCAAGTCAATAATAAATTGCTTTAAATGCATTGAGTTTGTTTGATTTTTTCATAAATACTCCTCTCTTTCAATACAAATTTACAATAGTAAGTTATTACTATACATATATTATTATGTACTTACGTTATGTAGTGGCTTCAGCAGGGTTGACTGAAGATATCGTCAAGATCATCCAGTAAGTTGGTGTGTTTATTGGAAACTGTAAAATAATAAAATAAATTTGTTAAAAATGTTATTGAATTATGATTATCTACGACTGTTATAAATAAAGCATCGGAATAATCGATAAATGGCTATAAATCTAAAACAAACACAATTTTTTATCGTCGATTAATTGACAAAATATTGTGCAACCTTTCGAGATTATTATAATACTATTTTTGTTCGTTTACTGTCAAAATCTAATTATAGACCGTTCTTTAGATAGATTGTATTAACCAAAGTTTATTCAGAAAAAAACGTTTAAAAAATAACCAATTTTAATGAAATTTGATCTGATGAAGTGAAAATTCCTGGTTACTTTGAAATTTTTCTCTGCATCAAATTAGTATTAAAAATACCTGGAATCCTATAGAACCTATAGAAATAAGGAAAAGTAAAAATATATTTTCTAGTTAATGGAAAAGGGATTATTGAATCAAATAGTAAAACAATAAATCTTCGATTTATTAGATATAGTAATAATCTGTTCTATAATAATTGAATTCGAAACTGCGATATTGGTGGAGGATTAGAGGGAATAAAACTATGATGGCTTTATTAAAATTTCAATGCCAAAACTATATATAAACAGATTCTAGTCGTTTATCCAGCAATCTGATCAAAATGGTGTTCAAAACTGCATTGTTCATTTTCGCTGCTGCAGCAGTTAATGCTAGCAATGATAATTTAATTGCTGTTGTACAGGTAAGAAGATAAATTTAGAATGAAGAATATTTAGCATTACTAAATTGTACCTATAATCATTTTCTAGGTGTTCAGACATGGCCAAAGAACACCAAATGAGTTCTTTCCAACTGATCCATATGCTGATTTAAACGAATATTGGGCAGGATTAGATCATGGACAATTAACAAATGTAAGTACTTGCAAGCATTAATGAACAACAAGTAATAATGAAATTGGTACCTATCTACAGGAAGGAAAACGACAACATTACAATCTGGGCCAATTTTCGAGGAAAAGATACGCAGGCTGGTTACCTGCATCATACAACAAAAAAGACATCTACGCCCAAACCACCGATGTGGATAGAACTCACATGTCAGCTCAAGCGAATTTGTACGGGCTCTATCCAGCTACTGGTACCCAAGTATGGCGCAAAAATGTTAACTGGCAACCGATACCTGTACACCCAGCTAACCAGAAAGCCTTCGCTTCGATCCCTTTAGATTGCCCGAAGTATTTTACCGCTATAGAGGAGGTCAGTTCCAGCGAGGAATTCACCAACCTCGATAAAACCTACGCCAGTGTGTACCAATACATTTCAGAACACACCAATACGCCCAACATTACATTGTCGCACGTTGGCCAACTGTGGGACGCTCTTCTTATCGAAGACCTAGTTGGGTATTCCCTACCATCCTGGACTTATTCCGTCTATCCACAGCCAATTGGAGCTCTAACGGCGAAATATTTTGAACTATTCTGTTACAATCAAGTGTTGCAACAAATAGGTACGCATAATATCTTAATTATAAACTAAATAGGTACTAATAAGTCAATTTTTAGTGGTGGGATTGTTCTACAAGAAAACGCTGGATTATTTCGACGAAATGCTCGCTGATCCGACCTCATCGCCTAAATATCAAATGTACAGTGGACACGATACTAATGTATACGCTATATTGAACACAGTGGGTTACAAACCGTCGGTACCGGTACCATTTGCCGTGTCCCTTTGGTTCGAATTGAGGCGAGTAAACTTCGTAAACGTGGTGAATTTGTGGATGAAATCTGCCGAACAATTCACCCAGTTGAGTATTAAAGGATGCGCCTTGGATTGCCCTCTAACCGAAGTGAAGAAGCTTCTTAGCGATGTCACGATCGACGAAGAAACTTACGACAGCATATGCAATAGTACTGCTTAAATTTGTATTAATATAATCTTTTGAATAAATGGTGCACATGCTTAGAAATGAATTGTTTTAATTTTACCTTGTAATTTGCTTATATGAAAGAATATTAAAAGCTGCTCTAAAATATTTAATGGTAGGTATATTAGAAATTTTTCTAAATTGATGATATCGTCTCTTATAAGCCTGATAATCTTTAAATAATTATCAAGAGAATTAGAATTTAATGGATAAGACATCTTTCATGTTGCACAATTACCAAAATCAAATTGTAAAACGATAAATCCACGATTTATTGGATATAAATATATTTTTTTTACAATAACAATTAATTCCGCAGTCATGAAATTGGTGGTGGATTAAGGGAAATAAAAAATATGATAGGTTTATTCAAATTTCATTGGGCTAACCGTATATAAACGCATTTTAACAATTTATCGGATAACCAGAGTAAAATGGTGTTCAAAACGGCATTGTTGATTTTCGCTGCTGCAGTTGTAAATGCTAGCAATGATAATCTAATAGCTGTTGTGCAGGTAAGAAGATGAATTTAGAATGAAGAATATTTAGTATTACTAAATTGTATCAATCTCTAGGTGTTCAGACATGGCCAACGAACACCTGGTACGTTATTTCCAACAGACCCATATGCTGATAAAGATGTTTATTGGGCAGGATTAGAATCTGGGCAATTAACAAATGTAAGTACTTGCTAACATGAATAACAAGAAATAATGAAATTGGTATTTACTGCAGGAAGGCAAACGGCAACATTACGCTCTAGGGCAATTTTCTAGAAAAAGATACGCCGACTGGTTACCTGCATCATACAACAAAAAAGACATCTACGCCCAAACCACCGATGTGGATAGAACTCACATGTCAGGTCAAGCGAATTTGTACGGGCTCTATCCAGCTACTGGTACCCAAGTATGGCGCAAAAATGTTAACTGGCAACCGATACCTTTACATCCAGCTAACCCCAAAGTCTTTGCTACGATGCCTGAAGATTGCCCAAACTACATGACTCTCTGGGGCCAGGTCAGTTCCACGCAAGAATACACTGACCTCGACAAGACCTACGCCAGTTTATACCGGTACATTTCTGAAAACACCAACGTACCTAACATCTCACTAAGGGACGTTTACTCGTTGTGGGACTCCCTTTATATCGAACAACAAGTTGGTTATAGTTTACCATCCTGGACGTACTCCATTTTTCCGGAACCAAGCCAATCGCTAGCGGCTAAATTTTTCGAATCGTTAAGCTACTATCCGGTGCAAAAACAAACATGTTAGTACCTACTTCTTCATTAACTAAACCCTCATAAATTTATACAAATACCTTACAGCTGTGGGATTGTTCTACAACAAAACCTTGGATTATTTCGACCAAATGATCGCCGATCCGACATCAGCGCCTAAATATCAAATCTACAGCGGACACGACAGTAATGTGTTCGCCATTTTGAACACAGTGGGCAACAAACCATCCGCACCGGTCCCATTTGCCGTGTCCCTTTGGTTCGAATTGAGGCGAGTGAACTTCGTGAACGTTGTGAATTTGTGGTTGAAGAGCGGCGAACAATTCACCAAGTTGAGTATTAGAGGATGCGCCTTGGATTGTCCTCTAGCCGAAGTGAAGAAGCTCCTCAGCGATGTCACGATCGACGAAGCAACATACGACAGAATATGCAATGAGTGATGTACGATTAAATAGAGTATCTGTGTCTAACTAAAAACTCTGAAGCTTCCCTCCAATTATTCCATTTCGTCGATCCGTTATTCGGTTTCTTTTCACACCTGTGCAATTACCGGTACCTGTTATTATCAGCATTAAGTCAAAGACTGATATGAAAATTACGGGTAGTAAATAACCTTCTAAACTGCTTTCTTGTTGTTAGTATGGCGGCGGCGGCACCCAACAAGTCGATATATCATTCATCTTTAGGAAAATCGCTCCCTCAATCATGTCGATATCGGTCGATGTATAGCTGCACTAGATGCTTATAAACTGGTCTTCGACTTACAGGGTTCAACTTTCATTGTACTTTCAGTAACAAAAGGATAAGATTGCATTCTTGAGTCCCATGGAAAATTTATTATTACGAGAAATTTGTTAGATGTGTAACATTCGAATAGTGTAAGGATGGAATAACAAGTGAGTTAGAGGTGTTGTAATTTTTGAATTATGCTGGATTGTATCGCCCTGTAGGTTATCATATTATACCAGGAAATTTTTTGCAATGCCGTATTTCATCGAAATTACAGGCGGGACGAGGCAGGGCCGTTTTCGTACGCGCTTTTTTATTCCGACAATTAGCAAATTTGAAACGTTGTAATTTTCGTAAGGCTGTTCGATTTTCAACAGTTAAATTAACAATGACGCCTCGTCCCGATCATTATACGCAATAATATAAATAATGCAAAATTTAATATGCAACCAGATTTACACAATTTCAACTGAGCTTGAACCGGCTTTGCTTCGCCCATTCATTATTAGAATCTACATCTAAAAAAAAACGTAACTATTTTTAATGCTATTATAATCAATATAACTTAAATGGAAGTAGTTTTAAATTAATTGCTACCTGTTAAAACACTCCGAAGATCCGTAATCGACGTTGAAGAAGAAGCCCACTTAAAACTAAAAATAATTAATACAGCAGGGGCGTAACGAAGGAAAAAAAAAGTTTCATAACACATATTACTTCGACTACTGTTTTTCGAATGCGGATTTATTGAAGGCATTCCATCATCCTGCTGGCGTTCGAACGCGCGCTTATCCGAATATAATATCGTCATCGAATTTGCCCACGAGGAAACGACTTCGTGACCGTCTAACACTATCGCAATAATTTATCATCAATATATTTACATGTAATTAAATCACTTAACCGGCCGACTAAAACGTTTAAAAGCAAATTTATCAATTAATCTCTACAAGTCCCGCGGTATAAATACACGACTCATTGTTGTCGACTTTCTTTCGCCCGGCGATGCAGATGAAGGGAATCGACGATAACATTGGTGTAGCAACAGGAATATGAGCTCGATTAGAAATAGGACGACGGTCACAAATCATTTCGAATGAACATTTCAGTATGCGCGGACCGAATTGTCGTGCACCGGTGACCGAATCGTGAATTGTTTATGTATTCCTTTGGAATTTATCGAGCGAAAATCGTGCATCAGGACATTTCGTTCTGTTAAATCCAATGAAATGTTTAATTAAAAGGATGGACGATTCAATTGCGAAATGGCGCTGGTTGGATTCAACGAACAAGGCCGCAGGAATACGGTTGAAAACCGTATTATTCGATGGATGTTTTTCGAGTTATTAAATTTCTTCGTATTCGTTTAACAAACTAATAATATGCCGACAGGTATTCTCGCGATTCCCGCACGATTCGCTTAAATTCCGACCGGCACATCGAACGCCCATGGCTTTTAATGGTAGTACTTACATTTCGAAATCTACGATAGCGATATTTGGTACTATTTTCCGCACTAGTTGATTTCGTGTTTCTGCATTTCCGCTCGGGCGGATTTTCAATTGTCTCTTCATTTATATTCATTGTATGTATACCCGAAGACTCTATGAATATTACATGATATCAACGAAACGGGATCGTTCTGGCGAAAGAAATAATCCTCCTACGCCGCGCTTCGACCTAAAAATCACCAAAGTTTCATTTGACATTTGCTAATTAAGTTGGGTACTTCCCCGCGAATTTTCATACGAATAAACTGGACGTAAGTACGCAGTAAATAAACTCTCTTTTCCCACGGTAGATCGATCGTTTCGTTTCGTCGTACCGGAGGAAAACAATGGTCGCTCGCAATTCACTTATTGATCATAATAGTCCGTTTTGCTGCGCTTCTCCATATGTCGAAAGGCGCCCTCTGTTTTACCCGCTAATGTATTTGCTCGACTATTAATGTCAACTGTCACTCGTAACTCGCCATTGTCCCGCCGGTAATGTATGCTACAAGTAGAAGCGGAACGCCCCAAGTGTTCGAAACGTTTTAATATAAACTCCGCGCTTCGATAACAAGAGCGACAGGGGACAGTTAATGGCGAGGAAATATGAGGAAATGCTCCGGCAATGTCGTCGAATTTGACATTGACGTGTTTTGATTGTCAAAAAAATATGGGGTTTTTGGTACTACCAGCTTTGCTACTTACGGTTATTTAATCATCATACTCAATACTCTGAAAATTGGAAATTTTTTATGTTGCGATTTAATTATATTAATTTGAATGCAATTAAGATAAACTGGCCACCTAAGAATAGCGAGTTTTATCTACCAATAAATTTAATTGTCAAAAATATGTAGCATTAAAGGACGCCCGAATTATTTAGATTATAAAATAAATCGGTAGGTATTATGAAAAAAGGATTATAATATTACCTATTTAAATACCAATGAGAAATTTCATAACAATAGTATTCACCACTTAATAGATAAGTTATAGATTATAACATATATTTAGATTATTAGATAAGGTATAGTATAAAATTCGGTATTATCCTCTGCTTGGATACAACCATCGGCAATTATGGCTTGTTTCAAATTTGTGTTAACCACTTTTTATCTGCTGGCGCTCTTTTGGGGAGCATCAGCAAAAGGTATGTAAATAATTATTTTAATTCCACTAGTTTACAAGGTTTACAAAGGTTTACAAGAACTGAGGATAATAGAAGCGATGTATTTTTGGTTGACGAACAAAAATTTTTAGTAATCAAAAATTTAGTACATCACATAAACGAAATATACTAATAAAATCGTTTGTTTTACTGGAAATTTAATATCTATGCAGTGCATGAAATGAAACTAAAAATTAGATATGCTGAGTAGATAATGTTCAACAATAGTCTATCAGCACACCATTTAGAACAGTCTAGAACCATTTAGAATGCTCCAGGAACATTTAGAACTGACTAGAATCATTTAGACCGCTCCAGAATAATTAAGAAATGCCAAGAACCATTTAGAACTGCCTAGAATCATTTAGAACTGCCTAGAATCATTTAGAACTCTCTATAGAATCATTTAGAACGCTCCACACCGATTTAGAATGGATATGTTGGACAAATTAAAGAAACTACAAAAACTGAAAATATATTGCTAACCCGCTTTCGTTCCTTTCAGATTGTCTAATAGACATAAAAAAATTGCAGCAAAATCACCCTTTATTCCTCACGCAGGATTCCAACGACCTAATCTATCCCGTTACCCAAACCAGCACCATTTCGTTCAACACCAGAGACTCCTTCGAATTGGAATGTCCTGGCAGCGGTAAGGTCAAAGCCGAGGATCAGACGTTCGGAGAGAAAGTGGTCGCAAAATGTCTAGCAGACGGTGTAGTAGGTATAGAAAACCAGAGGTTCAACGTCTCCGAGGTGGAGTGTACCAGAAAAGTGTCCAGCACAGCTAGGTACACGAAGAACACGTGCTGGTCGCAGCACAGCGAAATCGAGGTGGGATTCAAATTGGCCAGCGGCAAGTTTATTCGGGTGTATAACGTTTGCTTCGACGAAGAAACCAGGAATGTGGTGTACTCCACTTTCAACATGACCAGGGATATTGGTTACCAAACCGCTGGTAACACCAGACCCGCTTGGTCCGAGGGGAAATTTTACAAGTTGCCCGGCGTGAAGATGGATGAATTGTACAACAACGATGTCCAACGGCAAACTATTAACAGGCAATTGGGTTTGCCTGAAGAAGATACTAGTTACGTTAAACCGCATGGTGAGTTGTAACAATTCCGCAAAAGTTAATGAGTTGTAAATCGAATGGTTTTAGGTACGCGTTATTTAGCCAGAGGTCATTTAACAGCCAAAGCGGATTTCATGTACAATGCTGAACAGCAAGCCACTTTTCACTACATTAACTCGGCGCCACAATGGCAATCTTTCAATGCACGCAACTGGTTTTACTTGGAGAGAAACCTCAGGAATTTCGTCGCCGAGAAATACATCGACGTACTAGTGTACACAGGAACTTACGGTAAGTTCCCAGCAATTTTATTTAAATCATGAGTAAAAAAATCGATTTTGTTTCAGGAGCATTAACTCTACCTCACGCATCAACCGGCGAGGAGACGGACGTTTACTTCTACTTCGACTCGAACGGTGAAAGGTTCGTTCCAATTCCGGAGCTGTTCTGGAAAGTGGCCTACGATCCGGTCCATAGAGCCGGTGTAGCGGTAATCGGATTGAATAATCCCTATCAAACAGACATATCGGCTAGTTTAATTTGCACCAATATAGCCGACAAAATCAGCTGGTTAAACTTCGATATTGACAAACCAGCCGCGGGTTATATGTACGCTTGTGATGTGGATGAGTTCAGGAAAGCCGTTAGAGATTTTCCTGATTTGGACATCAAAAAATTACTAACTTAAATAGGAAATTTACTTCAAAAATAAAAAGACAGTTTATATGTTAAAATCAATTTATTTAGTCATTTTTAACGCTTAGTACTCGTCGTTGAAAGGATAGTGAGGGTGTCCAACGGCCCTAAAATAAATAAAACATTACACATCAACCAGCAAATATTTATAAAATGAAATACTCACTCAACAAACCAACAAACTCTTCCGTTACAATCGAAGGTATCCATCGTGGCGACATCTTCAGTGGACAAATCGAAATCGAAGATGTTTATGTTCTGCTTGATTCTATCCTTGTTAACGGACTTGGGAATGGGAATGACACCATTTTGCAGCAAGTATCTGAGGATGACTTGGGCGCTGGATTTCTTGTACTTGGCGGCGATTTGTTTGATTTTGGGGTCCTCAGTTAGGATGGGATCGCCTGGTTTGGCCCACGGCCTGTCAGGCGAACCTAGCGGACTGTAGGCAGTCACTGCGATGTTTTTGGATTTACAGAAGGCTATCAGCTTCTTCTGGTTCAAGTAAGGATGGCACTCTATCTGTAGGAAATATAGATGTAGATTGGTGGTGTTATATTTGTGTAAATTAGTACCTGGTTGTTGACTGGCTTTATGGTGGCGATTTCTAGGATCCTTTCTAATTGTCTTTTGCTGAAATTGGATACACCGATCGATTTGGCTAAGCCTTTTTTCGCTACGTCTTCCATCGCCTTCCAAGTGTCTACGTAATCGACGTCGCTGAAGATGGATAAAACTTCATGATCGGGACGTTTGGGCAAAAACGCTCCTCCTTCCTACCAACACAACCATAATTACAGTATTAACATTAGACCGTATGACAAACCGAATACCTTCAAAGCGCAAGGCCAGTGGATCAAATACAAGTCCAAATACTCCAGGCCCAAGTTCTTCAAGGACGTTCTCAGGCTGCCTTCGACCAGATCGGGTCGCAGGAAGGTGCTCCACAGTTTGCTGGTGACGAACAAATCTTCTCGCTTGACCACGCCGCTGGAGATTTTATCTCTAATGGCAACGCCGACTTCGGCCTCATTTTCGTAATAATGGGCGCAATCGATGTGCCGATAACCGGCGTCGATGGCGTCTTTTACCGCTTGAGTCACCTCGCCAGGTTTCGACTACGAAAATTCATTAGAGTATATTATTAGCCGGTCTAATTATAGACTATTAGTTGATTCTATTTTGTATTTTGTTGAGCACGTACCTTCCACGTTCCTAATCCGAACACAGGTATTTCCCTTCCGTTGTTCAATTTTACAGTAGGTGCTGCCATTTTTGCGATGTTGTCCACGGAGAATTTGAACTATCACTGGGTTACATCACGCATTAGCAAATCTTTTGGCTCTCTCCATATTGTTTTCACCGATTCAAGGTTAGCTAAACATTCTCGAACGCGATAATTTTATCATTTAAATTCGAACAAGTGCGTGCTCGAGTCGGAATATCTGCGATTAATTCGTACTTAAAAATGTTTAAATAAACAAGGAGGTTACGCAATTTTTCAGAGTGCACGGCTATCTGTTCGGAGTTTAAAATCGAATTACCTAATTGATTAGCGCGTCTAATTACTTGATGTGGATAAATCGGCGAGGATCATTTAAAGGCTTCGACTGACTTACGATTTACAATCTCATCCCGATCGCTTTTATGGCAACGCATTCGATTCTACGATGTTCGTTAAACGGTCCTTTTTATAAACATAAATAAAGTGGCGTTTTTTTTGCAATGACAGATATGGGTAGAGTTATTGGCATTCTAGTTTTTATTTCGGTTGAGCATTTGTTGAATACGTGTGCGGACTGATTTCTGGAAACTCGGTTGCTCTTTCGATTTAACGATTGGCAATTTTGCTCTTTTAAGGTAGACTTTTTCCCGCAGGATTCGACCCGGCTCGATTTTAAAGGGAATATCGTTTCCAGGAATCGGATTTTACAACGCCTATCTGAATCTAACTAATGTTAATTATTCGGTATTTTTATCGAGAAAGATTTCATAAATTTAGAAACCAGTCGAAGTGTTAAAATAACTAACTATCCGGTGAATTTATGGGCGAACGCGCGGCGCGCGGAAAAAATTATTATTTATAAGCCCGGGAAAAATTTATAAGGTTGCGTATAATTGGCGTATACGTTCGTTTGCATCAATTTTAATAGTATTACCGACTGCAACCGACACGATCATGAATCAGCTTAACCGTGCTCTTCATTCTTTTTATCAGGTAGCCCCTATTGAGTGCGACTCGTTACTGCAGCATCGGGACATTCTTCAGCGCCCACTCCTATTCCCAATAATTCGATAATATCGATCGAACTACGAAATTAATCCTCTTACACAACCGTATCTACTAATCGGTAATGCGTTTAATTAATCTAGTAGTATATAATGATACGGGTAAAGCTTTTATATGAGTTTAATCCGGTAAAAGTAGGGAGAAAATTGACCGGGATCGGGTATAAATATGTTGAGCGGTCGATTTGCATTCGCGTCGAATTTACGAAAAAGGCTTTTAAATGCGCGCGGAATATGTTAATTGGAAATTCCGGGTAAGCAATCTCAAAAAGATATTCCGGTGGAATTTTAAACAACGCATCGGATGCACCGAGAACGTATCGTATACACGTCGATAATGAACTGCGGGCATTCGAACAATGAGCGAGTTTAACACTATGTAGTATAATTCGAAAGGATTCGAAAAGCTAAATGTATGTACATTATTTTTCTTTTTTTTTTCGTTTCTGAGGAACGGGATAGTTTATCTGCCGGTCGATTCGGTTAGTTAAAAGCATTAGATAATATATAATTTTAAAAAGTAATATTAACCGAGCCTAGTTTTTTCGAAACAATGAATATGCAAATGCGATCAAATTTAAGCAGCGGGACGTCGAAAATGAATATACACGCACGAGCGGCTAACTAAAAATCCTGATTTATATAGCAATACAGCATTTTATATTCATTGTTTACAATAAATTTATACATTAATCATATTTCTTCTCTACGTCAGTGTTAAGTTGTTAACACGTAGGAACAACTGAACTGGATGTATCATAGCACACCGAGCATAAATCTCCATAGGTTTAATGGCTTTTGTTTTTTCTCTACCTCTGGTGTTGCTTGATTTATTATTTTGTTTGCATGTGAGCTATAGGCGCTAAGAAACTTTCGACATTGCGCGTATAACTAAAGGAAGTCATTACGTTTCATTTTGGGTGTGGGAAACTCCTCAATGAAAATGCTAAACTTCTCGCACTCTTATATGCATGTATATCGTACGAGGAGAAAACCATCAACTAGCAGAATACATTTTATCGCTTTCGCAATTTATTCGTTTCCTGCAAAACCAACATTATGTCGTAACCAATCTCACGTATATCAGTTATGAAAATTTAATACCCGAAGACGGGTATCCGAGTCACACCCTGTATTTTCGCGTAACTGTCAGTTCAATGGATTTGCCTAGAGAATTTATATTATACTGGAAACACAACTATAATTCGCATCTTATTACCTGCCTTACAAATATTTGCAAATTTATTTAATAGTTGCGGTTGACGTATGACATATTCGAATTTATAAATATTAATAGAGTCTATCATCTGTATTTGGCGCTTTTTATAAATTTTAAGTGCATGTTTAAAATTGACAGTTGCACATTGTTGTCATGGAGTAACTATGGAGTTGGTTTAACTTGACAGTTTTACATTGGTTGTCATGGAGTAACTATGGAGTTTGTTTAATTTGACAGTTTTACATTGGTTGTTATGGAGTAGGGATATTCTTTTATTTGACGATTGACGTATGACATTGCGAAATTTCTGTCACAATTAATAAGCAAAAATTGGCTCTTTTTCGCAGTCGCAAACGATAAATAACGTTTCGTTCGCCGTAACCATTTGTCATAAACGCAATTTTCAGGAGAGACAACTCAATAAAACGCGCCTCGTAAACGAGAGACGTATTTCCAACAATAACTTTTCTAAACAACGAACTGACGGCTATACAAAGTAGCCGAAGGCTGGTCGTATATTAAACCAACATTGTAAATATTTGTACAAGAAATTAACTCGTCAATTAGATTCCGACGGGACGATTCGTACTACTTCGTCAATGACAGATGAAAGGTGACAGGTAATTTGCGCAGAACGCTTAAATTTCATCCGTACGCGCGTCATTTGTCAGTTGTCGTTTGCAACATAACCTCATTTCCGCCCGGCTTCATTAATTATCGAATTAAATGCAATGCCCACCCGCCGAGTGAGCGACTAATAGTTTTTGACTGAAAAAAAAATCGTTTTAGTCGGAAATTAATTAGAAGATGACGAATTAGAAGCCGATACGCGATTACACGGTCACGAATCGTTCGCCTTCTTGCGTTTCCCATTAGGAGAACGTTCGAACGCTAGTAATACACTTGTAAAACATTTAGATAGATATCAGATAGCTTTATTTAGTCAAATCGACGTTATTACGTCGAATAAGACGTAAAATCGCGAAAAATAGCTATAAAAATTTGAAAAAAACAACTGTCAAATATTTGACGTTTACGTCACCTGTCAATTTTTATCACGGAAGCAATAAAATGATGTTGAATGGTGATTTGAAGTTAGGTAGATGATGGAATATGAATTTAATCTAATAGAATAAACCTTCCTATAGGAGTTTGAGGATTTTCTGCTAAAATAAGAATATTACAAGTATTTCAAGGGTAACATTTTACGTATTAAATTATCTCATTTGACAGTTTTACATTGTTGTTATGGAGTAACTAAGGAGATTCTTTCATTTGACAGTTATATTCACAGAAGTGCTTTACGAAGAAGTTTAGGTACTTCACATAGAAGTTATATCTCTTTTCTGATTTAAAGTATGTACATTGAAGAAATATTTAACTGGTACGTATAGAGGTAAATAAAAAAGCGGCCTAAAATCTAATTTATGGTCGCGTTCGCGGGATATGTTCGTTGATTATGCGCCGCGCAATAAAATAACAACGGGCCCGGTATAATGCAAGAGAGGCCGTCGTTTTCGAATTATTTTCGAAAAGACAAACAATAGGACGGGGCCTTTCGATTGAGAAATTTATGCGACCGGCGCGGTCATTCAATGTAAAACATGATAGAACGCAAAATTGTAACGCGACCGAAAGGCGATTTAAACGTTGAGGAGGAGCCGATGCGGCTGGGCGATTTGAATTTACCGAAAACCGATGAAAAAAAATTCCCTGAAAGTTACTTAATTCCACATCCGTTTGTAACGCATTCGAAAAACGTTGCTTATATAGGCAGGTATGTAAGTCAAAGCGGGATATTCGATCAATTAATCTCGCACAAGTGCTTTTAGCGGAAAGAACACGCACGCATCCGAGATAAAAATGTCGGTTCTCATTAGAAATCGTAATAAATTCAAACGTGAAACTGATAGGCTAATATAGCACTGACATGAAAGATTTCTGCGTTATTCGTCAAGACTCGAACGAACAGATAACTTGTTAGTCACTCGAATTAATCAAACTCATTATCTCTTTTACTATTTTATTCGCTTGTCGCTTTATTTCGCTGATGTTAATGGGGATTTTTCAACTGAAATTCTCTTACATTTTAGTATAGTGGAGGTTGTTAAATTTAATAGGAAAACAACACATAATAGTAGAGGTTGTAGTGTGTCATGATGGCTCATAAAAGTATCTAGAAATGTATTACAACTAATTAAAATTTTGTGGTGATTGAGCGAGTTATTTAAATGGACCATTATTAGCAATTTTCCTCTACTAGAACTCATCAGTTAATGGAGATTCCAAGGAGATCTCTTCATAGTTTGCTTTATAGTTAGTTTCATTGAAAATACTTGTATACCTACAACTTCTCCAGATATTTCTAATGGGTTAAGCGACACACTGTATACTTGTAGAGGAAAATATTTAGAGAAAAATATACGAGTTTTTTATTTGGCATCGTTCGCGGGCGATTTTCGCGGTTCCGTTTTTGCCGTGGAGACGTGAAAAAAAAAGTCGCAGTTACAAATTCGAAAATCTCATATTCCCAACGTGTATTTATTATGTTGTCAACGAGGCATTCCGAACTTTCCGTGCGTTTTTGTTAACGTTCACACATCCGCCGACCGGTGCAAATGTTTTCGACTACCAAAAACGCATTTTTCCGGCTCGTCCTGCCCAAAACGATCCAGGCCAGGACTTCGTTTAATCTCGAACAAGCTGTAACAAATTCTCCTGTTCCAAAAATAATATTTTCCAAAGAGTTAAAAGTGGCAGCTTACGAATTATGCATTTCATCATCATTTAAATTGCGTTTTCTTCGGTAGTTTTTCGCGAATATTTCCTCTATGTCGTCGTTCCGGTTCTGCGCGAATTAAAGAATAATCGAACGGAGTTAAAAGAATTTAACAAATTACCGAGCGAATGTTAAAAATGTTGGAGATATGAGAAACGAAAAAAAAATATTCAACAAAATGAATTAATCGTCTCGGCTTCTTCGTAAATTAGCCGAGCATCTTAAAACATGAGAAATAAAATGCGAGGGTAATTTTTCACGAATTAATGCATTCTCCGATTACTCCAGCTGTATACAGGCCGAGCAAAAACTACCAGCAATTTATAATTTGTAAATCAAAAATAGTTAAATTTCTCTTTCGCATAAAATGCACCTTGCAGATACCACTGCAGGTAATCACAATAATTTTAATAACTAACATTCAAGCATTTCCAATCATTTAAAATGCCCAAATACCATCAGGATCGTTATCGCAGCGTTCTAATTACCCCTGCTAGTGAGCCATTTATTCCTCATAACATCGGATAGAATCCTCCGAGCTGTCGACCTGTACACGAGCTGTTTATCAAACCTTCGAGCTACTTAATTGCCGTGTGAACGTGTCGATGATGTTACTACGAATTACGACTACTTAGTAAATTAATCATATTTAAGCGAGTTCTCGATAAACATAAGGATGGAAGATGAATTATTTATGCCGGGCGTCGGATGAGAGCGGGTTTGTTGATATTACTCGTTAGAAACGCGGTGCTCCTCGAAACGGAATGCGAATTATTCGGTATGCGAGGAAAGCAAAAAAATTTGGTAAACTCAGCTTCAGTTTAATATAATTGATGTTCGAGTTTGATTATGTTTACAGTTGCAGTATAATCTAAGACTTTAGAATCCTAATAGGTAGATTCTTTAATAGAAACCTATTGATACTCGAAGATGAAAAATTTGCAGGAAAGTATCGATGCGATATGGCGGTGTTCCTTTTCTCGATGACCGAGTTATTTTTTCTATATCATATATTTTTTTCAATTTATAAGGAAACGATTTCCTGCCGACGCCGCATCGAGTCCAAAGCAGGAGGATGCGAGATCGCTTATTGCTCGTCATTAAAGCAGTAAAACGCTTAAAACAAACGACCTAGTGTTGTATAAGGCACCTAAAAGGCGGTAGTACGGACGTCGGAGAATTGCGTAATGCGACATTGTTCAGTACGGTGGTTTCGTTTGCGAAATCGTATAAATACCGGCTAATTAAAAACGCTTCTTTTATCGTAGTTTAGCGCGTCTCGAGTGGGTGTAGACGGGGCTTTATTTTACGCGTTTATAAAACGCTCGTTGTGAACGGATCTTTAGGTACAAAACACCGCCGGTCACGTTTCATCGGTTCCAAAGCGATACTCTTGTAAAACGTTGGCGGTAACTAGTTTTCCATGTCGCATAAAATACGACTTATTGTGTTACGGATGTCCCAAACGGTTTGATACATTGCGGTAGTTAGCTCGGCCAATTGGTTTACCAGCCAGTATCATATTGGTGCCGATCGTTTCGTACGTAATATTTATTGGTGCACACCGTCAATGTTTATAAAAGGTCCTTTTCTCGCCATTATATCGCCCGACATGAAAGATGTAAGCTTTCGCTTTTCGTTCTTTTGTGTCGCTAAACCCTTTTAGTTCGCTTTATTTATCCGTTTTTCTAGCGAGGTAATTGGATTGACAATTCCACTATAACTCATCCATTCAGTGTCATAATCACCTGAAAAATAATGGAAATTATAGAGTAAAAATTGCTTCAATTATTCAATTATTCAAGTCAATCGTAGTTTATTATTAAGAAAATATACTGCTCCACAAAAGTTGAGGAAGTTCACAAATATTGAGATTAATTTAAAAGTTGCAGGTTTTTTGACCGCCAAATTTAGTATGAGTTGTAGAGGTAGGGGCAAAAAATCCACTCAGATGTGAGAGAAAACATTTAATTTCGCATGTTTGAAAATTTGGTGATCAAAAAATCTGTAACTTTTAAAATAATCGCAAAATTTGCGAACTTCCTTAACTTTTGTGGAGCAGTTTATATCAATTTTGTACCCTTTTTATGACAAAATAAACAATATTTTAGCATAATAAATCAAGTAACTAGATAATATTAGATTCCATTAAGTAAATAAATCAATGATTCAAGAAAACATTTAGCATTTCCCATAATAAAATTATTCTTTATAGGTAAACTGTAACTAGTAAAGTGAAATATATAAATTCGAGCGGCTTCACGGCCGATACACAATGCGAGTATTGGCGTAATAAAATCCCCGACGGTTTCCATAAATTTTCGCGGTGTATCGAGCAATATAATTTCCCGCTATTTCAATACGATGAAAATAAAATTAAATTATTCGACAAAACGGCGAGATAATCTCGGGCAATGAATTTTCTATGATATTTTCCAGCGGGTTCGCGGATACTGGGGAATATAGATGAAGAATAATTTGCTAGCCCGTTAAAGGTATACAGGACCGTATTTTATTGATTCTTTTTCTTAACTAATAACTCGATAAAATGTATTTATCGTTTGAATAAATTGGTTGGGGTATTTCGTATTCTCGAAATCTCGTTGTTATTACCGCCGGTGTTCGGAGTGTATTTCAATTTAATTGTGTTGATAAATAAAATCGCCGGTGAACCAATCCTGCGTACGAATAGTATTCGAGTAATTCCTTGTATGTATTGCCGATTCTGTCACATAATTTCGTAAATAAAATACGATAAATAAGAGTGGTACAACTCCGGACGAAACGCATTAGAAATTATGATCGTATAAATCCTAATCACTAAAAAGTATTTGTGGAAAGTACTACCGACCGTAGGAATCGAGTGTTTGTTTATTCAATTCGATTGTTCTGCAGGATAAGCCGGGGCCGATTCTCGTTAAACCGCTCTCCGGCCGCGGAGCCGGTTTGCCTTCGGACACCTCCTATGAGGCGTCGGATTTTAATTCGAAAAGGGTGAAAAATCCCACTTATAGCTCAATAATTTTAATATCCAACACAATTAGAGCTATGTATATCTCATCAGGCGAGCTTTTTTCGGGATTCCCATGAGTCACGATTCGAGAAGAAGAAGCCTAATATCGAAGTTTGTGTAATGTTGTGACATCTGACCTCTCAATTAGCGTTACTTTTAAATCACAATAAAAATTTATCTGTGGTTCCTTTCGGCGTGGGCCGGTGCACCGTAAAAGGTACGGTTATTAAATTGAATGTAAATTGAGATTACATTGGATAAAATACGTTTATGGTGCCACTTTCGAATCAACCGAATTATGAAAATGGATTCTACACGTAACTATTTTAAATTCAATTCGGCCGGAGTTTTTGTGTAGCGAGAAAAATGCGAGAACCGCATTCGAGATTCGAGAAGGCGTAAATTCGTCTGAAACTATACAATTTTATTATTATATCAACCGGAAATGTAACATACTTCAGTACCGACTTTGATTGTATTCGGAGGAATATATGAATCCGAAACGAGATATATTACTGCAATAACGCTGTGACGAACCATATATTGCGCGAATATATCACCATCTCATTAAGAAGGAATAGACAATAAACTCAATTAATAAAAATAAAAATGGCAGAACCGTATTTTTCGACGTCTCCTACGCGCCCGTAATGGCGCGACATCGGGTCTCCAAAGGTCACACTCGTAATATTTTCAACACCTCTGGCGCTCGAAAATTTATTTTTCCCTTTTGCTTTATTAATACCGTAATATATTACACACGAAAGCCTATATGTCCGTATAATAAGTTTAAATAAATAAAATACAACAACGCCTATACAGCATGTCTCTATATATACAATCTCTCTATAATTTCAGGACATTCAAAATTATCACAAGTTGACTTATAAAACTTATCACAAATGAAAATATTAGACAAACTAGTAGAAAATAAGACAACAATACCACTAAGATTATATCGTAATAAATCCAAAACACCCTGTAT